TGACGCCCCGAGGAGCTGCGCGTGGCCGGCGCCGAGCTGGACGCGCTGAGATCACTGGCCGGCGCCGACCGGCCGCAGCTCGGGGCGCAGGTCGCCGAGGTCGAGGAGCTGCTGCGCGGCCTGGAGTCGCCGCCGCCGCCGCCTGCGACCTGCGGCGACGGCGCCGGCGACTGCGACGGTCCGTTCCCTGACTTGCAGCCTTTCAACCCGGAAGCCTTTGTAAAGCATGGCAGGAGCGTATAGGCAGATGATGGGGAAGGACGGCTCTGGACGCGGGCGTTGGTACTTGGGTGTAATCCGACAAGATTTGCACGCTTCGTCTTGTCGCTCACTGCCACCGCGGGCATTGCAGCCCGGCCTCCGTTCTGCTCAGGAGATAGTATGGCTGATAGAGCTGTCCCAAACAAGTATACAAGAAAAAAAGACAGTGCTATCTAGAAAAAACCAACGCTGCCTGGTCGTTGGCTGGCGCTGAAACAAGCGCGTTCAAGGACGCACGCACAATAGAAACGTACATATAGATAGCCACGCAGCTTGATTGATGGACACGGAAATGTTGCAGTCGACGTGCTTGCTTGCTAGATAGGTAGGTAGTAGGTAGGTGGGTAGGCTTCCAGTCTGGAACCCTTCAGGAAAAAAAACACAGAGAAAAGAAGGGGAAACACAACAAGTCTGATAAATACATCCAAGTCGGCCTGGCCGGCCGCCCAAAGTTTCGCCGAGCAAGACAGGCGGCGAGGAGGAGGGGCAGCAAGGAACGAGTCTAGAAGAAAGATGGTACCCGAGCCAAGGGCAAACAGGGAACGGATCGAGGGTGGTGTTAAAATGCGCTCGCTAGAGAGAAAGAAAGCCAATATGACAGAACAAGCTGGCTTGATTTGTTCATCGCCATCCTGTTTGTTCGTCGATATATATCCTCCCATTCTTTTGTTCTTCTCACCCGTCCCCACGCGTCGCCTCGCTCAGAAGGCTAAATTAAGTAGGACCCAGTCTTGGCCAGATCCTCCTCGCTTTTGCTTATCCTTCCCCTGCCTCTTCTAGGACCGCGCTGCCTCAAGCTCGAGCTCGAGCTGCCTGATGCGCTCGCTCTGGTCCTGGGAGCCAGCCCCGATCCTCTTCTTCAGCGTCTCGACCTCGGCGGTAAGATGGCCGATCTTGTCGCTCTGCTCGCTGATGATCTTGGTCTGCGCCTCCAGGAGCTGCTTGATCTGCCCCAGCGAGGTCTCAACAACCGAACCCTCTGCCGCTGTCGTTGTCGGTGGCGAGAAGGTCCGGTGCGCTACGGCCGGCGCGGCGGCCTTGACCGGCGACGGCGGCTTCGGATCCGGTCGCACCACAGCGGCGCGCGGGGCTGGCCTCGACACCTCCTCAAAGCTCGACGTGTCGCCCCCATCGTCGTCCCCTCCGTTCGCGTTGCTGTCGTCTTCCTCGTTGTCCTGGTACTTGGAGGCCATGGCCGCGATCGATTGCTTCTGCTCGCCGACCGAGGGCGGCGGCGACCGCACCGCCGGTTTCAACTCGGGCTCTTTATCCTTTTGAACGGGTGCCTGCGCGACGGGCGTGGGGGCGGGGGCGGTTGCCAGTGTGGGCGCAGGTGCCTTGTAGTCCGAGGGTACCTCGACGGGGGCGGTGCCATCGTAGACGCTCTCCAGGTCGATCTTGGGAGGCAGTCCCGTCTTGCCCGAAATCCATTCGCTGGCCGACATGGCAGCCTTGAGCCCAGTGGCGGGTGGGAAAATGTCCGACTGGAACGTCTCGGCTCTCCGCGGGACCGTAAACGAGATGGGCTCGATGTAGGCGTCGCTTACCGTCTTGTACGCCCTCATAACCTCGTTCTCGTGCACCTACATGGACAGATCATGTCAGCAAAGGCCTAGGCCCTGCCGCAACAGGCGCACACTCACATTGATCCCGCGACGGGGCACAAAGGCAATGCCTCTCTGGGGGTCGGGCGACTTGTACTCGGAAAGGAACTCGAACTTGTCGTTCTCGTATTCAAAGTATCGGATGTTGCCGTCACTGTCCAGTGGTAATGCGTTAGTTATTGTTATCATAGGGCCGTCTGTTATAAAAAAAAGAAAAAAAGAATAGGGGCAATGCCACCGGCGCACTTACCCCTTGCCGGCAAGGTACAAGCAGTTTGAGCCATCATCTGTCTCGCGGCTGTGTCAGCAACATGGCTCATACGTTCTAGGTAGGGGTGGAGCAGGGGCAGCACGCACCCCAGAAAGGCATGCAGACGCCCGAGATGGAGTCGAGGGTGTGGAAGCCCCCAATGGGCTCGGTCTGTCCAGGCTCCCAGAGAGCGAGCTGCCTCTCGCTCATACGGGAGAAGCCCGTGGTAGCGAAGCGGTTGTGCTCGCCGAGCCAGACGACGCGGCTGTTCTTTGCGCCCGTGTGGCCGGGGGCCTCGTGGACGGGCTTCTCCTGGCGCACATCCCAGACGCGCAACTTCTTGTCGCGCGACGTGGTGGCCAGCAGGTTGCCGGCGGCGCTCCACGACAGGCTCTGCACGATGTCTGGGTGCTTGAGCGTGACGTGGGTCTGGCCCGTCGAGACGTCCCAAAGGCGGATGGTCAGGTCGCCCGAGGCCGACGCTAGGATGTTCTCAGCGGCGGGGTTGAACAGCACCTGGCCGACCTTCCTCGAGTGGCCCGACAGGCGGCTGAGCGGCGCGACATCCTGGGGCTCCTCGGCGTCCGTGTACAGGGTGAAGCCCTCGGGGACCTGCCAGATGAAGACCTTGGCGTCGTCCGAGGCTGAGGCGATGAGGCGGTCGTTGAAGGGGTGCCAGTCGGTGTCGAGCACGGCGGCGGTGTGGCCGCGAAAGAGCGGGATCTGGTCGGGCACCTTGCCCCGCTCCGTCAGGGGGATGACGGCGAAGGCGCCGCCGCCGCTGGACTCCCAGTTGACCGAGAGGTAGTCCGGGTTGACCTAGGACGCGCGCGTGAGTGTGATGCCGGGCCGAGCGTGCTGGGGCAATGGGGCAAGAAGCAGGCCGTCGCGGCGCACCTTGACTAGGTTCGTGTCCCAGGCATTGCGGCTGATGTGCAGGTTGTCGTAACAGAACTCCTTCCTGGTGGGCTTGCCGAATATGTGTCCTGTGATATTTGCGTGTGCCACGCGCGTCAGTCGGTCGCCAGGGACGCTGCCGGCCGAGCCAGGGCCAGCCCACGCGCACCGGGCGCAGAGCTGGTGCCGCCTGCGAGAAACAAGGCGGCGGCGACAGGCGACTTACGATACTTCGACGCGCGCACGAAACGACCTGCCATCGGGGTCAGCGGCGAGGCGGCGCGAGCCCGGTCGAGGGAGACAGGATGGCTAGGGAGGAAGCGAGGGAGGTAGGGTGTCTGCGTGCAAAGAAAAATGCGGAGGTAAAGGCGCCGGGCCGACGACAACGAAGGTTGCTTGATCGATTGCTCGCTCAATGCTTCAATATTTCCTCCTCGTCAGCCTGCTTGGGGGAACCCAGCCCGCCGACAATGCGAGTGAGTGGGGCATCTCGAATGCGCGCGCACAGAGCAGCCAGTGGCACGTGGAGCCACACCAGCCTGCCCAGTAATGCATTCATGGTACGCTCATCTCCTGTGTATTGACTTGCCCATTCAAAGCCCCCGTGGGAACGAACCTCAGCTAAAAAAGAATCCGCAATCAAAGTCACCCATTTCAATGCAGCTCGGCTGCTTGCCTCCAGACAAGGAAGAAAGACAGAAACAAGTGAGAAAGAAGAGATAGCCAATCCACGCAATAGCATGCGCCCAGAAGAAACACGGCTAGGCTCAAAAAGAGTCTTGTTCAAGTTCTGTAAACGAGACGGAAAGAGAGAAGAGAGCAGAGTCGAAGCCACAAGTCGAAGCTACCATGTCCTGGACGCCTGCCTCCCCGCGTGTTTGATCTCGCACCCATCACAAATACCGTCATTACATTTCTACCAAGCCCGTAAGCACCCTTCACGTCTCTCGTGGATGGTGGCATAGATCCATCATCACCCGGCCGAGTCCGGGCACGCCACAGACGCGCCTGTCAGAGAAGCCACTAGCGCCACGAGCTACCAAAGATGAAGACGAAGAAGGAGACAAGAAGAGGAAGTAGTGCTCGACGTGGAAAGAGGGCGAAAAGAGCTAGGAAAAGAAGAGAACCAAAACAGAGAAAACAAGACGGAGAGAGGCGGGGAGGGAGAAGAGTAAACAAAGAAAAAGAAAAGAAGGCCCAAAACCTAGTAATAAATACATCTCGCTAACCCCTCCGTATCGTCGTTGTTTCGTTCCCTTTGCTTCGAGGAAACAGTGCCTGTCCGAGTCTTGCCATCGATAACCCTCGTGTACTTCTGCCTTTGAAGTTGAGCAAAGCATTATACGTTTCAGTCATCCTCGGCACCAACACCATTACTTGTAACCCCGTTGGGCTGGCCGACGCCGTTGGCTATTATCTTAATCCTGGGTGTCGCCGCCGACGGCTGCGGCGTGCCCGTGCCTGCCGAGGGGGCCACCGATGCCTCCTTGTCTTTGACACGAGGATCCTCCAGCTCCATCAGCTCGGGGTGCGCGCTGAGCTCTGCCTTGAATCTTTCGTTGAAGGATGCCTGCACCACCGATTCACACATGGTTAGCAAACGAAATCCGCCCTCGCATAGCACATGGGACCTCACTAACCTCAATGGTATTCGCGTCCGAGTAGAGCAGGCTACCATCCTCGTTGTACTGGCGACAATTGTTGCAAAGCAGCTCGATGTCGGCGCGCATGTCGCTCAGGCTTCCATACTCCTCCTTTTTGATCTTGCTCTCGATCTGCTTCATCGCGATGGGCTTCGCGATGATGACGTAGTAGTCTGCATAATCGCGCTTTGGGGGGAGCTTGACAAAGGGACCGATGATGAGGCGCTTTATCGGTCCTTCATCGTCGTCGTCGTTCGCTTCCGGTTCGGGCTCCAAGTCGTCCACCTCGAGCTCCATCAAGCCCTCGTAGATGCGGCCGAGGCTCTTCTGCAGCACGTCGCGATGTGGCGTCCCTTGCTTGCCCCCACCTGATCCCGACATCGCCTTTGGCCGGCCTTGGGGACCTCTGCGCTTCTTGGCCGGCGGCTCATCATCACCATCTTCGGCCTTTCGTTTCTCTTGCTTGCCGGGCTTGCGCCCGCGCTTCTTGACCGGCGTCTCCTGCTCCTCGGTGCTCGCCCGGCTTGCTGACGGAGAGTTGTCCAGCGATCCGTTGGATGTAGCCAGCCGCTTGAGCCGGTTCGCCTCCCTCTTGTCTTTGCGCGCCTGCTTCCGGGCCGCGGCAGCTTCTGGTGAGTCGTCGTCGTCGTCCACCGCCATAAGCCACTGCTCTTCCGTCAGGCCGTCGTCGTACCTGACCTTGGTCCGCTCGCGCGCTCCACGACCAAACACTGTCTCGTCTGTCTCTTCGACCGGGTTGCCGTCCGACATGTAGATCTCGGGCAGCTCGCTCTCCACCATCAGACGAGGGACGCCCTTGCATCCCGGCGCTGTTCCGTACGTTGGGTCATTGATCCGCTGTTCATCCAGCTCCTGGAACTTGACAATCTCCGACTCGTCACGCGCCAAGATCATGTTGAGCTCCTCGTCGTCCATTTCCTCCTGCTCACCCGACTCCGCCATGTCCGCCGTTTCGAGCAATGTCCGCAACATGGCGTCACGATCCGTCTCGGATGACTTGTTGTCGAACCGTCCGGCCTGGATAATCTTGCCATCCATGTCGAGCTTGAACCGTGCCCGGTCCAGGATCTTCTCCTCGACAGAGTTGGAGTGGATGAGCCGGAGAATCCGGACCTCGTTCTTCTGCCCGATACGATGGGCACGGTCCTGGGCCTGCAGATCCTGGTGGGGATTCCAGTCCGAGTCGTAGATGATAACCGTGTCCGCCGTCTGCAGGTTCAGACCCAGGCCACCAGCGCGGGTCGAGAGAAGGAACATGAAGTAGGGCGAGTCGGGCCGGTTGAATTGGAACAGCAGCTCCGAACGGTCCTCCGACTTGGTAGTACCATCCAGGCGCAAATACAGAAGACCGCGGAACCGCAGGAAGTCCTCCATGATGTCCATGATGGCCGTCATCTGGAAGAACATGAGAACACGATGGCCGGTGGCCTTGTACTTTGGCAGGATTCGATCCAGCAGCTCGAACTTGCCAGCCGTACGCCAGAGAAGATCGTTACTCGTGTTGCTGGGGTTCATCTGGTTCTCAACCTCGTCAAACACAAATGGATGGTTGCAGAGCTTGCGGAGCTGCATGATCATGTTGCTCAGACCACGCGCACCCGTCTTGCCGCCCTTGCCATCGCTCACAACGAGCTTTTGGTGCTTGACCATCTGGTTGTACACACGAGCCTGCAGAGCCGAGAACTTGCACTTGATGACCTTCTCTGTCTTGTCTGGCAAATCCTTTTCGACATCCTTCTTGAGACGACGCAGCAGGAACGGGCGGAGAACCTTGTGCAGACGGCGGATGACCAGGATCTGCTCTTCTTCCGTCAGCTCCATCTTGTCCTGCCCACCCGTGTTGGCAAACGGCGTGTTGAACCACTCGTCGAACGTCTTGGCCGATTTGAAGATGTTGGGGAGAGTGAAGTTCAGCATGGCCCATAGCTCCGCTAGGTTGTTCTGGAGCGGTGTGCCCGTGAGAATAAGTCTGAAGCGGGTCTGGTAATATTGCTGGATTGTCGACGTCAGCTTGGAGTTGCTGTTCTTCATCCTGTGGCCTTCGTCGATGATCATGTGAAACCACTTGATCTTGCTGAGAATCGGCCGGTCCTTGATGATGTACTCGTAGGTTGTGAGCAGCACTTGGAACCTGCCCTGGCGGATCTTGTCCTGCTGCTGCTTTCTTGCGTTAGGAGGGCCCTTGTAGACCACCTTGCTAACTGTGGGAGCCCACTTCTCGAACTCCAGCGTCCAGTTCGTCAAGGTACTCAGGGGCACAATGACCAGGTAGGGACCCAGCTGCTGCTTGCGCTCGATGAGGTACGTGATCAAGCTGATGGTCTGAATGGTCTTGCCGAGACCCATCTCGTCTGCCAGAATTCCGTTGAGGTTGTTGTTGTACAGAGAGATCATCCACTGGAGACCCTTGACCTGGTACTCCTTGAGCTTGCCGCCGACAAGCATGTTTGCCTGCTCCGTCACCTCCTCCTTGATACGGTGAGCGACGGCGTAGTAGTCAATCTTGCGCGCGCTCTCCTCGTCGTCGTCCGACCCATGCGATTCTTCCTCCTCGGCCACGTCCTCTCCGCCATACCGCTCGGCCGCCTGCCGTTGCTGGGCCTTGACCGAAGCGGCTAGCTGGTGAAGGAAACCGTCCGTCTGCCGCAGGAGGTGAGTGATACGGGTATCCTTGGCTTGGTCAAGCAACTTGAGGTAGGCTTCTTCATCGTTGGCTTTCAGGGCCTGCAGACGCTGCTTGGCGTTACGCTCAATGCGCTTCTGCTCCTCCTTCTCAATATTACTGTGATGGTTGGTCATCCAGCGGCCGAGCTTCGTCATCTTGGATTGCTGTGCCTGGGTGGTCGAATGCATCTCGGCGCGGTGGTTGAAGATGGCAGACAGGTAGTCCGAGTGCTTCTTCTTCTCGCGGTGCTCTCGGGCGTCGCGCTGCTGTTTCTCGAGTTTCTCCGTGATGCGCGCCTCGCGCACGTTCTGCTTCTTCATGCGACGGTAGTGGCTTCGATTGGTAGTCATGGCCAGGTTGTCGTAGTTCACCATCAGACGGCCAGTCTTTTCACGGAAAGCGCGCTGCTTGGAGTAGAGCTGGATCTTCATCATCTCGATGATTGCTTTCCGCTTCAGTGTCTCGTCGGGGATGAGCTCGTCTTGAGCGGTATCCCAGTGCGCGATGTTGCCGGCGATCTTCTGCAGCTCACTGTACCTAGTGCTCATGCGGTTGAGGATTATGGTTTCCCTCTCCGACCGAAGCTGCTCAAAGTCAATGCCCACTGGAGTGATCCCTGGGACGATGTACCGCATGTCGCGGTGGCCATGATCGAAGTATGTTATACTCCCACGGACATGGCCCATCTCCCAGGGTGACTTGAACTGCCTGAACTTCTTTCCCTGTGTCACCGTCTCAGCCGAAGCCGTGTGCGAGGCATCCATTCCATTCGACAACCCTTTCAGCTGGCTGCCGGTCGGGCTAGGCTGGATTCCAGAACTGGGCGTCGTCTGATCGGCTTGGTCGGCTGCTCCCGCTGATGCTGCTGCAGCGGCGGCGGCAGCGGCAGCTTGTCTCTGTTGGCGGGCGGCAGTGATCATGGCCGTGATGTTTGGCGGCACCCCAGTATTCTTGACCAGAACCTTGTATGCAGTGAGTTGAGACCGTAGAAGGGCCAGTTGCTGCGAGGAGAACGCGCCGTTGGGGCCTGGGGGGGCGGATGGAGACGAAACGGACACGGAGGCTGCAGAGCTGTTTGACGCAGCAGGCAATGTTGGACCAGCTGGGGCAGCCGAGGCGGGCTGGGTCGGTTTACCGTGCATATGGTCGTTCGACCCAGGGACGTGGTTTGCTGTTCCATTAGTAGCGGCATTCTGCATCTGCTGTTGCTTCTGCTGCTTGCGGTAGTTCTGCTGCGCTTGCACGTTGCGCAGAAAGTTGGAGAGCCTGTTGAACTCGGGGTCTGTGTGTGGGACACCCTGCTTCTTCAGCTGTTGATACCGGGCAAACAGATCTTGTATCTGCTGGCTACTCATCGCAGCAGACATGGTGCCGCCGCCCAGCTGCTGCTGGGCTGGTGGCTGTTGCTGCGATGCGGGCATTGCTTGTACCGAAGCCATACTGACGGCGAGCTCCCAAAGCCTATCGACGGACCGGCCGATGAACCGAGCGTGGCAACTTCAAAGGCTATTGCTGCGTCGGTCGCATAGCGGAACGGGGGGGCGCGGGAGGGCGGCGCGTGTCGTCGAGGCGCAGGGGTGCTGCTCACACAAAATCGGAGGCGCGTCGAAGGATGTATTGTCGTTGCGGGTTGGCAAATTGTCAGGCGCGGCGAAAGCGCAGAAACAATGCACGGGATTCAGGCGCGTCGAGTAGGGGAGGTATGGTTATGGCCAAGCCGCGATGGTCGAGACGTGACGGTGCGCTGATTGATGAGTGGGGGTCCAGGAGGACCAAGCCGTGCGACCGCGGTTGCTTGGGAAGTAAAAGAAAAAATAAAAAGAGCGAAAGCGTGCACGTATGCCAGACGGGCAATAGACAGGCTAGGGGACAACGAATGGTGGGTTCGGGTAAAGTATTGAGGCGGAAGCCAGGTGGAGATGAAGCCTCCGGCTTTTTGGTGATGGCTGCCGATGATCGCGAAGCGGTTTGGCAATTTTTTTTCGATGCGCGCACCTCGTCGCCTTTGATGATGGGGAGTGAAGGCCACGACCGACCGACAAGATTCGTATGTGATGGGACTGGAGGTAGCCACCACCGAAACCCCACTTAAAATTAATGCCTGAGGCATTGATGCCTGGGCCCCATCCGCGCTAATCCGACCCCGTGCTAACCCGACCCCGTCCAGAATTTCCAAGCCGCACGTTCCCAGGCTGGCTCGCTATATCATTCCAGCTGCATTCAGAAGCTGGGGCACCAGGAGAGGCCTCAATCTTGAGCCCACTTTAGCTACAACTGCGGACTACGTTTTCGGCCTGTTCTCAATGCAGAACGACTTCTCCTAGTAAACTGCAGTACTAAGTCACGTTGACCCCCGTCGACCTGTTCCCTTTGAGTCTTTCATTTCCATCAACCCCTCTACATTTTTTGCCGCTTTTTCTCTGGGCCTTCATCCGCCTCTTCGTCACTCTCTTCAGTATACTGCGTGACCGGCTGCGTGTCCTTCCAAGCATTTGTAAACATGGGATCCTTGGCGGCGATGTCGGCATACTTGAGTAGGGCTTCGCGAGGATCCTCGTGTAACATGCGGCTGAGGGGGATGTTCTCTTCGATATGCCGCTCATCCGGCTGACTTTTCTCAAAAGGCGTGTGCTTGGGTACCTGCGGCCTTCTCGGGTCCAGTGATCTTCCAGAAGCAGTGACACCCCCTTTTCGCATTCCTGCGCTGGCTCCTGGGGTGACGATTGAGTCGGCCGAAATTCCGACGCTCTGATCCATCGTCAAAGTTGAATTGTCATCGATGTGCCGCTTCTTGGGCGCCCGTGACATGACCTCGAGCGCGCCGCGTGAGGACATCGACGGATTGTAGAGAACGTGGGTCTCAGCGTTTGCAGACCCTGTGATGATTTGGTTCAGTTTCGGGTGCCAATCGACCACAACCAGCGGGGAGCCCGGAGTGATCGGAGCGACAAGCTCTGGCCGCAGCGTCCCGGGGTTCAGGATGTGCAAGTCGCCATTTGCGGACCCGGTGATGATGCTGGTGGAGTTTGGTGAGTACTTGATGTTTGTCATGCGAAACCTGTCCGCTGTAGACTGGTGCGACGCGACCACAAGTGGTTTGTTGAACTTGCGCGTATCCCAAAGCTTTATGAGGTCGTCGCCACCCCTGGTAACGACCATACGGCCGTCGGCACTGATATCCAGACCACTCGTCCAGGTGCCTGGCTTGTGCGCGTCCCTCACCTCGGCAGCCGGTCGTGTGAACGGGCCTTCACCGCCGTACATAACCAATGAGCCATCCAGCGCAGCCGCCACAAGGATGCTGCTCCCTCCCTGGGCCGGTGAGCCCCACGCGACTGCCGTCATCTTGGACCGGCCAGCAGCGCCAGCGGCCTTGGATTTGAAGACAATAACGTCTTTCTGGGACCTTTTGTTGTTAATATCCCATATCCGCAAGGTGCTGTCAGACCCTGCTGTGACACATAGGTTCTTGTCCGTTGGACTCCAGGCGCCCGTTGCGATCTCCCCGATATGTCCCTTGGTGTTGTGCATGTCTCGAAGGTACATGTCGCCCTTGACGAACTCTGTCAGGATCTGGCCATCCCTGGATAGGATCTTGGCCTGAGGATGGGCCGATATGCAGAGGAAGACGCCCCCCGAAAGAGGGCTAAACTGGACGAGGTTTATCGGGTGCGACTCGGCCGAGGCAGCCGACTTCTTGGTCTCCCAAGGGTCAACACTCTTGAAGGCGCGGAGAGTTGTCGGTGTCATCGAGGCAAAGTCATGCATTTTGATGGTGCAGTCGAGCGAAGCGGATACGAGCCGAGATCCGGCCGGATCCAACGAGACCGTCGTGACCGTCTTGTCGTGAGTCTTGAGGACCAGCTCGTGGGATACGGGGTATTCGTCGGCATCGTCAGAGTCGGAATCGGAATCGGAGTCATCCGAGCTGTTGTCGTCAGAATCAGGCTTTGACGTCTTTGGTTCGGTGTTGTCCTGCACCTTCTTAGCTTGCTTGTTGTCGACGATGCGTCTGCTTCTCTCTATTTGCGCTGCAATGTCTGCTTCCTTGTCCTTTTTTCCAAATGACGCAGGAAGGTAGGCTCGCATCTGGGCCTCGTCTGCGACGAGCGCTTCCTCGGAGTCACCCATGGTCGAGTTTGTAGGCGCGCAGGCCTTGTCGCATCCGTGTACTGGGAGTCGGGAACCACGCGACAAAACGAAAGACAGGCAGGGAGGTAAGAGGGCCGAGGTACCGATGGCCTTGTCTAGAGACACGGAGCAGAAAACCGACGGGGAAGTATGGAGGGGTTCAGAGGATTTAAAGACAAGATGCGAATGCAGAAAACGGCATCGGTCGGTGAGCAGGTCACAATGCAGGCAGCGTTCCCCCTTGTCAACCCCGTTCCATCCCCTCCACAAACGGGACATCTGTGCCCACCAGCACTCCGCCAGTGACGTGTGATGGCCAGCCACGACGCGCACCCTGGAAATAAGAACTGCACCCCACAGAACGACAATTGAACCCGCATTATCCAATCCTCTCCTGCAGATTAGTCCTTTTACAAGTATCCTTTCTAATTCCCGTCTCTAGGTATGTCTACTCTTTTTTTTTGTCGCTTATCCTGTATCTGGCAGCCATTCGCGTGTCCTGTTTCCAAGTTCCCTGTAATCCTGATGCTGCCCTGTTTCCACATGTCGTGCCTGGCGTGCCCCGGCGAGCCTGATTAATAACCTCCCGCTACGCCGTCGCCTGTGCCTTTGCCTGCTCCATTCTCCTAGCCTCTTCTTGCTTCATTTTCTCCCATCTTTTCACCCGTTCGGGCACTATCCGCTGCCTGGGGGCCTTGATACCCCAATCCAAAGGGGGCTCCTTCCCCAGGGCTCGCAAAGTCCTGAGCTCAACGAGACTATAGTCACCGTCCGGCCTGTTAAAGCAGAAGGGCGCCCGCAGCATGACCGGCGGGTTCAGGATTATGCGAGCACGGCGAAGCGGGTTTGATGACGCCGAATGCAGCATCAGCGGGTGCAGCAGATAGACGTCGCCTACGTCGCCCGTCGCCTCCACAAACTGTGTCGAACTCGCGGCCAAGTTGTTGAACCACTCCAGGTTTCTCTCTTTCTCGAAGTCGGGCTCCCCGCGAGGGACCATGCGGGGCGATACTCCTTCGGGGTGCTGATACAGGTGGTGCGCGACTGCCGACATTGCGTCGGGCGCAATTACCGTGCCCCCTCCCCCCTCCACAATATCTGTGAATAGAGGGATTATCAGGAGGCCCTGCTCGGGGCTGTCCAGGTACTGCGCGGCATGTTTAACATTAGCCAAGCGTTCAGGTACCTTGCCAGGGTGTGGCCCACGTCCCAACGCTTCTCACGTACGTGGACGAAGAAATCACCATCGACATGCCATCCATCTAGATCCCGGGGTGGGACATCGACACCACCTGGACTCCCGAGATTAACTATAAAGGTGTCTCTCCAGTTGCGGTATGCTGGTTCGATACGGTCCTCACCACCGCAGAGCTCACTGGCCGCTGCCCACGCCTTGGGGGCAAATTCGGAGGCATCGAAAGTGTTGTGTTCAGGCATGTTGACGCGCTTTTCTGTCCAGGTACTTTTGTCCGTTGGTGACATGCCAAGACGCACCCAGACATCCTTAGTCATCTCCTCGGCCTGTTGTCTGGTGAATGCACCCTTGACCCTATCAACCAGAACACAGTCAGGTCAGTATGCAGAAGTGCTGGTGATTGATGTTGTTGGTGAATCCACTTCTTGAGGTGCTAGCCGGGCAGTGTAGTGGTGGCATACTTGATCCAGCCGTGCTCAAGGAAGTGCTCCTTTTCGGCATCAGTCAGCACACTTCCATGTGCCATTGTTTCCACTGGAGCTGGCCGCGTAGAGTATTCACGTTCAAAAGTTCATAGGTGTCTTAGGGGAGTAGATGATATCCTATCCTGACGCTACCTAGGTATGTAGGCACCTAGGTAGGTCCCTACTGATTTATACCTCATGACCGACGTGCCGATGGATCCCGCCAGCCAGACACATGAGCCACCTGTGCGGGGAACTCGTCCGAAGCTGCAGATCGTCGGTTGTTGTTCACCCGGTCTTACTCTAATGGGGAAAGTTGATATGCATGCATTGAGGTGGCCCATGATGCTGGACCCACATATTTTTTCTTTCCGTTCGCGACGGGAGCTGTGAGTTCGGCGCGCTCGGGCAGCTGGAGAAGCTCATTCTGTCCACCTTACACTTATCTCCTATCCAGCCGGAGCTGCAAATCTCTGGAGAACATCCATTGTCCAACCTAGACCTCTACCTTCCCTCAGGTACTAAATATTTCAGACTCGCGCTCGCGCAGACAGCGCCGCCAATCGACGATCCCCAAACATCGCCTCCCAACCTTGGTCCCTTCGCAACCCACAAGCGCCTCACCTACCATAATGGAGTTCGCGGCAGATCCGGACGACCAGTACATCTCCTCGGAGGATTCGGATTTCGCACCTGACGAGGATGGTGCGCGCGATGCGTCCCCAGAGGATGCAGACGACGATGATGCCGAACATGCTGGAGCGACAAAGCGGAAACGACCATCTGGGGATGACGAAGCTGGTGACGCGGGGTTCGAGAACTCCGGAGACGAAGCTATCATCCAAAAGGCAAAGAACAAGCGGCGCAGGAAAGGAAAGGAGCTCGAGGCCGGGCAAGATGACGAGAGCGGAGGTCAGGGTGGGCTGATCAAAACTCGGAGCCAGCGCGCATTAGAGTATGTCTATACCTACCATACACACATTTCTCCAATTTTCGCCGCCGAAATAGCTGACGATATCCTTTAGGAAATCCGAACGGAAAACCTTTGCCGCCAGTGGACAGGTGACCATCGACGTCGATTCGTTATGGGCCGAGATGAATCGACCTCAGCCCCCAGCGCGACTAGATTTGCCAGGAAAGCAGGTCAGCGAGACGACCGCAGGTGCTGTCAGTGACGCCAGAGACGCTTCCACTGCGTCGCAGACAGCTGTGGCCAGCGCCTCTCCCAACCAAGACTCATCCCGCATGGTAAAGATCAAACGGACATACAATTTCGCGGGTAAAGTCCACACCGAGGAAAAGCTTGTCCCATGGGACTCGGCAGAGGCAAAGTTATATATGGAGACGTCAGCCGAAGCTACAGACCCGAGTAGCACTGAGCAACCAAAGCGCAGACCAAGGAAAGCGTTCAGATCAATATTCGAACCGGCTCCGGAGCAACTGATGCAACGAACGGACCTGAACTTGGGCATTGCGGCAAGAATGAAGGCAAGAGAGGGGGGCAACGGGTCTGAGCCCAAGAAGCTCACCACGTTGGAAAAGAGCCGAGTTGATTGGGCTGGCTATGTGGACAAGGAAGGCATTCAGGACGAACTGAAACTCGCCGGCAAGTCAAAGCACTCGTACACTGAGCGCCAGGGTTTCTTGGCTCGAAGCGAGGCCCGCAGAGAAGACGACGCCAGGAAAGCTCGGCTGGCTACCCGGGTATGATGAACACCACTTGTTGGCGGGGTCACGCAGCAGTATTGACATTAGTCCACGCCGACTGTGCGTGGTATGCTCGGAACGTTACTTGCGTATTGCCAGAGATAACCTCTGTCACCATCAAGAGCTACAGCTTCGACCCGCTCGTCGTCTTGGAGCTATCGTACCTCTTTCCCTCGTCATCTTGCTCTTCAACTGTCAGGTCGGGGAGCTTGACGGGCATTATCCTTCGGGGATAGGCCCCTGGGACAACGGAGTACCCAGAGAAATCGGTCACGCCCCCATGAAGTCGGAGGAAATCTTCGTCAAGCGCCAGAAGCCCATTCACGCTAGATGCAGGAGCCCTGAGGATGGCCAAGATGGCATCGGAGAAAATGGTCGGCTTCCTCAAATCCTTGGCCTCGTCAGGGTGTTCTCGAGTAAATCTCACTGTGGCCGCTGACTCGATAGCCTGAGGCAACGAGGACGGCAAGAAGATATATGGTTAACGGAGGCGTTATCTGTGTGAAGATAGGGAGGAGCGTACTGACAACAGCAGGCCAGATACTTGTGATTGCCATGTCGCTGAGCCCCTCCCTCTGGAGATCCATGGCCAGGCCCATGGTGAGAACCGACATGCCCATCTTCCCCATGGCGTAGGCGGTTTTGCCTCTCGCGAAGCGACTGTAAATGGGTGGGCTCACAACGACCAGACGCCCAGTTTTCCTCTCCTTGAGATGGGGTAGGGATGCTTGAACAACACCGTACAACCCTTCCGGATTGACTTGTTGCATAAGCTGGAATCGTTTCATCGGGGTGTCTTGAACGGCGGCCCACCATATAGCCCCCGAATTATAAATCACCACATCGATGCGGCCGTATACCTGTGTGATATTCACGATTATCATCATGGCTCTTCTTCCATCTCGCAGCCAAGCAGGCTAGATATCGTTGATCATCTTCGTCCTACCCTGATAGTCTGTTCGATCAACTCGTTGACAGAGGTCAAGTCCCTTGTATCCACAGGGATAGCGGTCGCCTCGCCGCCGGCCTCACTTATCTCCCTTGCCACTGTATTGATCGTAGACTCGTGTGAGTTCGGATCTGGCGGGAATGGAGTGAGTGTCTTCGCGTCGCTTGTGGACTTGGCGGCGACGACGACTTTGCAATGTGTCCTCGGATACCTATGCGTTAGCTCACATGGGTCCGGCGATGTGAAACGAATCGGGTCGTCGCAAAGTCGCCCCGAGCAGATAGATGTACTACTACGGGTTGGGGATGCAAACCTCTGTATTGGCTCCTCGCAAGGTCAATCGCAACTTGGCGCCCTATCCCCCTAGACGCTCCAACGACGACAGCTACTTTCATGTCTGTTGATGTTGCCATGGATGCAGTTTCCCGCAAAGGGCTGGGCTGCCTCTGATGGATCAACAATACCGAAATCTGTCTCCTAAATTGAGATTAGTGACCACGTGCTTGCCTCATCACGTCACATGCGCTTGGAGACCAACGCCTCGGGCCTCTCTAAGTGGGCCCACCTCAACCCTGCCTCCTCATCTGGCTAGGTGCGCAATTGCTGGTTTGTGACATGCCACTGCTACACGAGACATCACGACATCAAAACGCTTTCTGTTCCCCATTAGCAGGACCTGAGAGTGAACAGCGTGCAAAGTACCTAACCATACTCGAGATCAAAGGGAAGAAGCAAACAAGCAACAATGTTCAACGGTAAAATTAGTTGTTATGTCGACATTGGTACGAGTCTCCACACCGGTCGTTCCTATCCCTTGCAGTTCTGGCTGACCTCACTCCCACGAGTCTGTCAGCCTCGTTCTACAGCTACATCGCTTTTGTAGACATTCTCAAGAACCAGGCCCTGCTCAAATCTCATGGTATTGATGTAGAGTAAGTATGCGGTAATCTTTGTGCCAGTTGTGTGTTGTTTTAGGTACTCACCAGACTAAACTCGTAGGTTCATTCCCGTCTTGATTGGCGGCATCAACACCAAGTCCGGAAACAAACCGCCCTGGACTCTCCCCGCGAAAGCCCAGTATGCTCCCTTCGATGCTATGCGATCGGCTGAGAGGGTTGGGAAAACCGACATCACCATGCCCGAGGATCTCATGTCGAGAAGCCTGACCGTTCTTGTAAGGCCTGGCCGTCCTTGCATTCATCCTCACCGAGCAGCTCCAGAGTGGGTCACGGCGCCTTGTTAACCATGACGGGGAACCGGCCTTAACTTGAATAGCCGATGCGGGCGCTTCTCTTCGTCAAAGCGAGCTACCCCCGCGAAATCTTCGAAACAGCGCTGCATTATCTATTCCACTGCTTCTGGACGTTTCCCCACCGCGACGTGGCTGCGAAGGAGGGTTTTCAGCAGATCCTGGCTGAGGCCCCTTCCGTCTTTCCCCAGACCAGTCAAGCAAGCTCCTCCTCCAAGCCCCTGTTTGGACCGAGCGATCTGGAGAAGATACTCAGTGCAGCCGCCTCGCCTGAGTACAAGGACGCACTGAAGGGAACCACCGACGACGCCGTGGCCAAAGGCGCCTTCGGTGCTCCTTGGCTCTGGGTCAGAAATAGGCTGGGGCAGGAGGAACCCTTTTTCGGGAGTGATAGGTAAGTCTCGGCCCCCTGCTGCTTGGATATTATGGTTTGCCTTGAGGGGCTGACACTTTTGAAGATCGCACTTTGTCTACAAGTTCCTTGACCTCCCCTATGAGGACGTCAAACTGCTGCCTCCGTCCACCAGCGATCCAACCAGCCGCCATAAGCTCTGAGCTGACGAGAGGCGGAACTTGTCTCTTGGGAATGAGGAGGAGCAACTCGGTTCTGGGGCTCATACGTGACGAGACTAAACGCCAGTGCAACCGTGCAGCTTTCGAAATACAACATGGAAGCTGAAGGATATGTCTTGGTAGGCAGTAGGAAGTTAGGTATCTCTAGGCAGTCTAGGAAATCAAGAATGGATGCTGGATATGTATACAGAAGAGAGTGATCGTCGCAAAACACACACCTATACCATGGAAAATATGCCAGCCCTGCCTGGCACATCATAGATACAAAAACACCCTCACCTTGCAGCGCCGCTGGCCCAAGTCCGTGCCCTCTGGCGGGAAAAGGCCCCTCCCCCACCAGTGGCAGAAAGCGCGCTAAAGAGGGACGGCTTCACCAGACAATGTGGTCACGTGGGAAGGGTTGACGCCCTCGAGGTACACCTGCCCCACCTGCCCGCCCTACCTCTTCAAGTCGCAGCTTGCTTCGCAGTTCCTCCCAAACGATCTCAAACCCCAACACAACCTCATCAACGAACAGGTACGTAAATCCCTAGCAGCAATCGCGCACATTTCGGCGGTGCTTGCACAACTCCATTGCAATATGGGGAGCATACTCTTCGCTCCCCTAGCTTGATCCGCAAGCTTCTCCTCGCGCCGCGCCCGCATCTCGTCGCTAACCGAATCACTCCTACAGCACTCCTCGTTCAAGATGAGAGCCAAGTGGAGAAAGAAGCGAGTTCGACGCCTCAAGCGCAAGAGAAGAAAGATGAGAGCCCGGTCGTAAGTCTTTGCTGCCCTGCACCTGCCCAATGCTCCTCTCCCCTCCTCTCCCCGCACTTCGCCGATCGCATGACTTGACACCAGAGACCTGACATTGTTACCCCGACATTAGCAAATAAACAAGCCACCGAGCACACTCAACCACGCCAGCTAGAATAGCGCAGAGCACAACGACCATCATCGACTCCGGCAACGACACCAAGTCCATCACCTACCCGCGCAGACATGGCTTGGACATTCACCAATCGATCACATCAATTACGACAGTGATGGAACTGGAGGACCGATGAATGGCGCCCCAAAAAGATACTTTGTCAAAGCTGGACCTGTCAATCGGTGGTTTGAGCAGCACCTGGAGGCATGTTTGAGGGCCAACACGCGCAATGGGCTTCTACAGATTGCACCCTGCACAGCAAACAGTATGAGCCTATGACGCCATAGTTGAATGAACTAAAAAAAAAATTGGACGCGCTCTGCTTTCCCACACATGAGTGAATTGTTCCCTCTTACCCCTGACACACCCAATTCCTCCTTGGTATTTTGGACAGTGCTCGTTGAAGACGAAAGTCCTGTGTTGTGTGACATTTCGATGTCGAGTTTCTCGGCTTATCGCTGGCATTCAACCTGGGCGGCTTGTGCCATCATGGCCTGCCACGCCCCACAAAAAAACCCCCGGCTTACAGGAGATCCCAAAGATTGTTCTCTTTTTTTCCTGTTATCATTCCTATTGTTAGTCGAAGGAACTGCCATCTTTCTTGTGGTGGGCGTGCCTGCCTCCCATGCTGCAACAGGAAGCTCATGCATGGTGAATGATGCGCTGCGCGGGTAGCTCGATAGCCCCATTTTCAGTGTGGATGGTGGGGCTTCTCCACTGTCAAGTGCGACGAAGCTGAGCTCCTGGCAGGGCGGAGGCGGTGGAGATTGCGCTGGTGGCAGAAAAAAAAAACACCAACACCCGGGCGGCTTTGGTAAAGCAGAAACCCGTATTATCCTGGAGCCATTTCCTCAATTGACCATACCGAATCCATCTATCCGTGCCAGAGAGCTCCGCGCCGCCTACCATGTCGGAAAAGAAGAGGAAGCGGGCGGAGGAGGCAGCCCAGAAGACAAAGAAGACCTCGGCGGAAAAGCCACGCACAGAGTCCAACCCGCATGAGATCAGAGTATCCTCGCTGATCAAGTCAAAGAACTTCCCGCCGGTCATAGGTATCGTCTCACCAAACCCCTGTTGAATGAATCTATCGTCTACGAGAAGTACAAAACACTGACCTGGCTAAACGCATCCGTATAGCTACAACGCCGGGACTATGTCTGCCTTCTTCGGTCCAATTCCAACCCTACAGCAAAGCGCGCAGTTCCGGGGGAAAGAGCAAGAAGTCGGATTCTGCCGATCTGCTCCTGTACTCGTCTGGTCACAAGACCCTCAACTATACCGGCCGCGAAGACCAGCCCAAAGGCGGAGATGGCCTGCTGCGGCACTACATCGGCATGTTCGATCCTAAGACAGGGGAGCTCGAGGTGGTTGAGGCGAGAAAGGTGACTGTTCGGGGCTCTGTCAGGGCCCAAAGGGCATCAGCCGAGGCCATGGGTGAGCAGGGAGAACAACAGGTAGGAACAACGCCGCCTCCCACGTTCATGGAAGCAGTGCAATGGCGGGGCTGATTCCGAGGGCGAATCACTGCTAACACGGTTTTTTTTTCAGGCGAATGCGGACCTTCGGACAGAACTTGGCCAGGCGTTCGGAACCAAAAAGGCCAAGAAGGCACTCATTGCCCGGGTTGAGAATGCCATCACACCTAGGAATAAGGATACTGCCTCGGGCGCAGATGCCAGCGAGGCCGCTTTGATGGCATCAATACGAGAGGCCGCGGCAAGCATGCCGACCAGGGAAGACCTGCAAGCTGCGGTTGACGGGGCGAAGCCGGTGCCCAAGGGCAACTACGACGCAGACTTAATCCAGGACGTCTATGACCCTGAAGAGATCATCGGAGCGGAGGTGCTCAATTCCATCCCCGTGCGAGATTGGCAGGAGGCTGTCAAGAACAAGGAACCCGTCGAGGCGCTCTCCAAGTTTGTGGTCAACCGAGTCCACCGAGTCGGTGAGCACGAGGAGTCGGTCAAGAGGCTGCGGATCTTGCGCTACCTATACTTTTTGATGCTCTTGCTCTACCAGAGCAAGTCGGGCAAGCGCGGGGTGAGAAAGCTGCCTCCGAGGGACAAGCTCAGAACCGAGTTGAAGCCAGCTCCAGACGCTGTTCTCGACAGCTTCAGGAGGAAATTCTCCGACAACGGCGAGATGCGAAAACCCCATATCGACCTCCTTATGACGACCTGCTGCGTGCTCACGTGCATCATCGACAGCTTTGAGCTCGATACGCTAGAACTCAGGGATGATTTGAGGCTGGAGCAGAAGCAGCTAGACCAGTACTACCGCGAGATTGGAGCGAGAACGAAGATCGTGAAATCTGGAGACAGGCAGACAACCTTGGTGAAGTTGATGCTACCGCTGGACTTTCCAAAGTTGAGAATGCAGAGGAAGAAAAATTAGCCAAGGCATCTGCGTCATCGGCATGAGGAGGCAATCGCACATTCATTGGTCGATCAACAAAGGGATGGATGTTGTATCAAATATTTTTGCTAGCCCGTGTACATGATCTGCATTGAGGCAGCGAAGCAGAGTGCCATGAGCCCTTGAAATACGAACTGGACCAGCTGGAGTCCATCACTCCGAGCCCTTCCCACCTCCATTGGCCGACCGGATAACTCATTTTGAAGATATTGGTATCTCTGAATTGGGACATGAATCCTCTACTTTTAGCTTCTTGTTACCCATGTCTCCAGCATGAGCTGCCACGCCATGTCAGACTCGGGGGTTGCCAGCACCGGGGTGGCCTTGGCTCGAAACGCCATGGGACGGGCCGGAGACAAGGTATCGTGCGTGGTACTTGCTTGGCAGCTACCGAGGTACATATTTTGCCAGCGACTCTGCTGTGCTAGAAAAATTCCCGGGCAAAATCCAATTATTTGGATAACCCTAGGAGGTTGGTTGGAACCTTGGTGTCGGAGTATTTTACCAGGGAGACGACGCCCTCGAAAAGCGGGCGAGTCTTCAAACAGGCTGGTCTTGCGATTTACGGGGCACAGGCTTTTGTTTGGGCAAAGCGCCCACCCACTTGAATGTAAAAATGGGAAGTCGAGCATCAGAGAGATACCACGCCAGCGGCATTACCAGGTAGGTACGGGTTGACAGCTGCCCGATCCACCTAAGCGCGGGCGGGCGCAAACCCGCATCAGCCCCATCACGCTGGACACCGACCGCCATTGCTAACATGTGGGTTTGACCAGTGGCTTCGGTAGGGCTGAGCCGAAGGCGAACCCCCTGGCCGGGCCGTTGCAAAAGCCAAGAGTTTTCCTTTGCGGCGGGCGTCAATGGCCGACCCGGGGAAATCTAATGACAAGACATTACTAGAAATCCTTGCGCAAGGAGGGGACAAAATCACGACCTGTGCGCGGTCAATGCTTTGGTGAGTGTTTTCTGTGCACTAGTAAGCCAACAACTGCCGAGCTATAAGTATGAATAGGGACGTGAATCCTCTGAATAGTATACCTGGGGGCCAGGTTAGGGAAAGAGGGTTCGTGATACTGTCCTCGGAAATTCTTGATGATTTTCTCCAGGTTCCTGACCATGCCCGCCAGGAGGTTCGCATGCGTTCACGCTGGTGGGGATGGTGCACAGGCCCCACTTTGAGGACGAAATACCGCGAGCGTGGGGCCCTGGTCCTGCACGGGGATTGGAGGCTGAGTGGAGACACGGAACTGTGTGGCTGGCGCGAACGCGACCAGACCTCTTGGATTTTTCGCCCTCTGGATTCACGTCGCCGGGCAGCTCGGAGTACACGCACTGCACCCCTTAGTTCGCTGCGATCCCCACGTTAACTCGAATCTTCCGGTTCGACGCGCTCTTTGTACACTGGCATTCTTTGATTGCCTCCTTAATAACCAAACCACCAGCAAAAACCCCTTGTTCCGCGAAGCTCCTGGGTGCTGCCTTGCCAGGAAGCGGCTCGGGGCCTGTGCAGGAGCCCATCATCTTGCGCCGTTGGAGAGCGCATCACAGCATCGAGCTTCGCTCAAAGGCGCTACTTGCCATGCCTGCGCACTGCCATCGCCGCATCTAATACCGCTACCGTCAAAATTGCCTGCCTCTTGAGGACCCACTAGGCACGGCGGCGCCGTCGTGACTACCGCGCCCTCAATTGAATTCACGGAAGCACAATGCCTGCCAAGCGCAAACGGGACATCCTCGATTTCGACGTCAACAAGTCCGACTCTGACGACGAAAACTTTGAGCCGGGTCTCGAGAGGGAGGAAAAGCCTCGCCGCACTGCCGGCAAACGATCCCGCCCTGCCAAGGGAAGGCCTCCCGGAAGGCGACGAGACCGATACGGCGGCTCTGACATCGACGACGACGACGAAGACATCATCGAGGATAGCGAGCCCGATTACGACGACGACGACGAGGACGACGACGACGAGGACGCGCCCGTGAATGCAACTGGACGTCGCATGAGGAAGGTTGCAGCTCAGCAGCACAACTACAAGGAGAAGGAGACCAGCGAGGAGGAAGCAGATACATCTCCAGAAGACGACGACGACGACGAACTCGCTCCGAAAAAGAAGAAACCAAGCCAACGCGAATCCAGGCCGTCAAGAATTGTCACTCTGAAGACCAACCCCAAGATTTTGCGGAGCGCCGGGGCACAGAATATGGAGCCTCCTACCCCGGGGGTCTCGACGCGGCGGACGCGCGCGCGCACGGAGGAAGTGGAGGAGTTTGTCGAGCTTTCCAACTCTGGTAAACACGCTCGGTCTACCAGGGCAGGCACCAGGAGTAGAAGTCCCGAGGCTTTCTCCCGGACTGCTAGGGCCACCAAGGGTCTGAAAGGTCTTAAGAAACTCCCGCCACCCATCGAGGAAGTCACACAGGAAAGTAGCGTACCTGATCCACCGCAGCCGGAGGAGCTCACGCCCAGGCCAGATGGCGAATCCTCGGGTGATAATGAGGGTGACCAGCTTGGTGCTGAATCTGTTCAGGACTCGGGAGTCGAGGCAGCGGGCGGTGGGAGTGGCTCAGGTGACGCAGATGCGGCCGAGGGCCCCGGAGAGGAAACCCAAGAAATCATGCAATCGGCAGAAGCAACAGAGGAAGTCGCAGCAGCCGCGGTCGCGGATGAAGATGACGAGGAAGACGACGACGACGACGCACCCGTCACACGGCGCACAAGGGCCTCGAGGGCCGCCAAAGTTGCCCACGAGGCTGACGATGAGGTCGAGGAGGCAAGTGAGAACGCGGCGCCGGGTAGACGGCTGACGCGGCGTGCTCTACGCCAGAAGAAGTCGACACAAGAGCCCAGCAGCGACTTCGACCCGGGTGAGGATGACGAGTCAGGCGAGGGCGAAGGCTCTGCCTGGGATGCCTCATCGCGCAAGGGCCGCCAGGCCCGCGCCGAGCCACAAGACGACGACGACGACGAGGACTACTCGGGCCAACCTTCACGCGGAAGACGGACGTCTCAAGCCAAGAGGACGAAGAAGCGCGTGGGCAAGGACTCGGGAGACGAGGAGGTGGAGCTGAACCAAGACGAGATGCTCGAAGAGCTGGAAGAACTTAGGCAGAGCTCCAAGTCTCGGCGGCGTCGGCGTTCGCCATCGATAGCATACGAGCAGCCCCTTCCAAAGAGGCGACGTACTGCGGTGGACTACTCCATCAAGCCTCTGGACCAACTCATGGACCAGGAGGAGGAGGAAGATGCGGCACCCACGCAAGCGAAAGGACGACGTGGCGGGCGAGCGGGGGGCAGCACTACATGGCAGCGCAGCTTCGCAGCGACGTACGGCCCATTCGGCGGTGGCGGTGGAGCTGGATCACTCCTGGGCGGACCCTGGGGCACGGGAGCGACAGGCGGGGTGGAGGAGGACAGCAGCGACGACGAGGCAGCAGCAGTGGCTCGTGCGGGGGTCGGAGGCGCGGTGGGCATGACACCGACAACGGCAACGGGACCGGGCTTCGGGCAGGCAGCAGGCGGGCAGGATGGCGCGGGCGGAGTGACGGCGACGCCGAACCTGGGCAAGGTTAAGAACCAAAAGGCGTTCGCGGACGCGGACCCGCTCGGGGTCGACCTCACGGTGGACTTCAGCAAGGTGGGCGGGCTGCAGGGGCACATCGACCAGCTGAAGGAGATGATCATGCTGCCGCTGCTGTACCCGGAGCTGTTCCTCAAGTACAAGGTGACGCCGCCGCGCGGAGTTTTGTTCCACGGCCCGCCGGGCACGGGAAAGACTCTGTTGGCGCGCGCGCTGTCCAACGCGGTGGGCATCGGTGGGCGCAAGATCACTTTCTACATGCGCAAGGGCGCCGACGCGCTGAGCAAGTGGGTGGGCGAGGCGGAGAAGCAGCTGCGGCTGCTCTTCGAGGAGGCGCGTCGCACACAACCCAGCATCATCTTCTTCGACGAGATCGACGGCCTGGCACCGGTGCGCTCTAGCAAGCAGGAGCAGATCCATGCCAGCATTGTGTCGACGCTGCTGGCGCTGATGGACGGCATGGACGGGCGCGGCCAGGTCATCGTCATCGGCGCCACCAACAGGCCCGACAGTGTAGACCCGGCACTGCGGCGGCCTGGCCGCTTCGACCGCGAGTTTTACTTCCCGCTGCCCGACCTCGAAGGCCGTCGCGCCATCCTCGATATCCACACCAAGGACTGGGGCCTGTCACCCGAGTTCCGCGACACTCTGGCGCGGCGCACCAAGGGCTACGGCGGCGCTGACCTCCGTGCGCTGTGCACAGAAGCGGCGCTCAACTCGATCCAGCGCACGTATCCGCAGATCTACTCGTCGACCGACAAGCTCATCGTCGACCCGGAGCGCATCGCCGTGCATGCCACCGACTTCATCATCTCCATCAACAAGATGGTGCCGTCGTCAGAGCGGTCGGCGTCGTCGGCCGCCGCACCACTGCCGCCGAGCGTCGAGCCGCTGCTCCGCCAGCAACTGGCGGGCCTCACGCGCGCGCTGGACCAGATCCTGCCGCGCAAGAAGAAGGCCACGGCGCTCGAGGAGGCCATGTTTGAGCCATACGAAGACGAAGACGACGGCTTCGGACGCGAGAATCTGGGCCAGGAGATGGACCGTCTGCGCGTCTTCCGGCCGCGGCTGCTTGTGTCAGGCCTGCCGGGCATGGGTCAGGAGTATGTCTCGGCTGCTATGCTGCACCATCTTGAGGGCGTCTTTGTGCAGAACTTCGACCTGGCCACGTTGCTGGGCGACCTGGCACCCATGGAGCAGGTCATTGTCAGGCTCTTCACTGAGGTCAAGCGCCACCGGCCCGCCGTCATGTTCGTGCCCAACGTAGCGGCCTGGTACGCAACCATTACCGAATCGGCCTACCGCACTTTTGTCACCATGCTGCGGTCGATCCCTGCGACAGACCCGGTGCTGCTGCTAGGCACGTCCGAGTGCGAGTTGTCAGAGCTACCAGACATGCTGGTCAAGGATCTCTTTGGGTTTTCTAGGAAAAACCACAGAGAGATAGCGCGACCGAACCCCGTAAGTTTCTGCTTCTGCTACTGTTGGCGGCAGGGCCCCTCGACTGACACACTCTCTCTACAGGAAAACCGGCGCGAGTTCTTCACAAAAATCATCTCGCGGGTGCAGCTGTCGCCCGCAGACTTCCCAGATCCGGCGAACCGCAAAAAGAGGGTGCTGGAGGAGCTGCCAGTGGCGCCGCCGCCGCCGCCACGCAAGCGCACGCGCGAGGAGATGCAGAAGGAGCGGCACACGGACCAGATCGCGCTCAACCACCTCAAGCTTGCGCTGCAGCCCATCATGGACCAGATCAAGCAGAAGTACCGCAAATTCCGCAACTCGGTGATACCCATACAACAGATCGAGTACCTCTGGCAGGAGGCCGACCCAGCCTACGTGCGCGCCGATCTGGACTCGGACTCGCTGGTGCGGCCCTACGTCATCGACCGCGACAAGAACGGCGTCGAGGGCCTGCGCGAAGTCGCGAGCGGCCGCTTCTTTTACAATCTGGATGTTGCCACCATCGAGGAGCGCTTGTCAAACGGCTACTACGCCCGCCCGGGCGACTTCTTCAACGACATCGAGTCGCTGGCCAAGGATGCTAGAAACATCGGTGACCGCGAACGTACCCTGAAGGCAAATGAGCTCGTCAGCAACGTCCGCGTCGACGTGCACGAGATCGCCACTAGGATGCACTACATCGACTTCAATGCCCTCCACGAGCGTCAGAAGCAGCGCGCCCTAGAGGCCGAGGAAAAGCGCAAGAAGCGCGAGGCCCTGCAGAAGGTCGTCGACCTGACCCAGGCCGAGATTGTCGCCGAGGACGCCGCCGGCCCCGTTACCATCGGCGCGCCGGTGCCCGGCGGCGGAACTACGACGACGAGCGCCCGCTTTCGCGTCATGAGCCCGGCGGCGGACGGCTCGACGGCGGCCAGCTCTCAGCAGCCGCCCAGCGGCCTCAGCAACGGCAACTCGATGCCCTCGCGCGCCGGCCCCGATGTGGTCATGGGCGGCACTGGCGTCGGCCGCGACGACAACGAAGACGCCGCGGCGAACAACCACGCGACCGGCCCCGACCAGAGGCCTGTCCACATGAGACCGCCGCCGCCGCACGGTCAGTGGCCAGCTAGGATACATGCCGGGCATACACTGCAGTATACAGCCATTTCTCAGGTCTCGGTGATAACGACAGTGCCACCCGGCGTGTCGCCCTCGGCCATGCTCAACGACGCGTCGACCACAGGGTCGGCCGAGGTGTCTAGCATCAGCAACCGGTCGTCCCTGGGGGGCCGCTGGGATCGGCTGTCGCAGGGCACCAACGGTGCCGCACCCGCGTCGGGCCAGGGCTCGAGCGGCCACAGCAACTCCCAAATGCCCGACACGCAATCTCTGGGCGGACCTAGCCAGTCGACGTCGAGCGAGTCGCAGTGGGCGCACTCGCAGGCGCAGGCCATGGCCCGCGGCGAGCTCGGCCCTCGCAGTCACGGCAGCGGCCATCACGGCGACCCCAACGGGCCGGCCAGCCCGACATCGTCGCAGCACGCGCGGCGGGGCTCGCTGCTCGGCGTGTCGTCGTTGTCATCGCGGCGCGGCACCGTCAGCCTGCTCAACGAGACGGGCGACGACTCGCACTCGTCGTCGTCGCTGGCGCGCGTGTCGGCGACCTCGTCACAGGGCCCCGTGCTCGACGAGGTGCAGCTGCAGCAGTTCCTGGGGAGCCTGACCAACCGCACGTCGGGCTGTACCGTCGAGCAGCTCGAGCAGATCAACCGCGAGCTCATGGACGAGGTGTGGACCACGCGCCACGAGTGGAATCGTAATAAGGTCCTTGGCCGCCTGACCTCGGTCTATAACGAGACCATCCAGGACATCGAGGAGGTTCAGGGTACCTTCCCCAACACGCAAGAGGAGGCAACATCGAGAACCCACCGTGAATACGGTGCCGTCTGAGCTGTTGCTTTGCCGTATTTCACCCTGTATTTTTGCGTACCGTGGAGTCGGGTTAGATGCGCTCCTTTTTCTCTACACCTGGCTCGCCCTCTTTGGCTCTCCTAAACCTTTCCACCGCACTGACAGATTTCCCGCTTTGTCTGTATCCCCAATTCCCCTTTTCTTCTTTCCACCTTTTCGCGGATTCCATGCACAACGAAAGCGGGCACGCCTATGCTTGGACTGCGAGGAAACACATGCCGCCCACGCGTAATCCATGACGACTGGACGCGTTGTTTCCTACTTTTCCTTCGATTCCTTGTAGCCATCTGTTTTCACTGTATTCGACTTGGTGTTGTTACCACCGCAAGCCAAGCTTTTTCTTTTCTTTTCTTTATCATGGACGTGCCTGCTCGGCTTAATAGGGATCATGGCGGCGCTCTTTTCTCACCTTTTCTTTTTCCTTTTTTTTTTTTGCGTCACCTTTGTGTGTTTGCGTCGCAAAAACCACGGGGGGCCCCTCTCTTTTTATTCCCAAAACCATCTCGTTCTTCCTTTTTCGAATTCCCAAGATAGGATTCTGATAGAATGAGAAATGTGTTCAGGCTAGACCGCCCTCGGTTTCCCGCATTCTAGGATGGACGGCTTGTGTCGGGCCGTAACCATTGTGCAACTTTTACGGTGCTGGGTAGATATGGAGATATCTGGGCAGGGCGTCGGTGCCCAGGCAAATGGGAGATGGCGGAAGGAGCGCACATTTGAATCACTTTTTCCGGATAAATCAATGTGCCCGAGAAGAAATACGTTTGTTCAAGTGAAAATAAGCAACATCTAACCTATCCGGGCGCATAAAAACGATGACAGGTTACGCGTAGCACCAGGGAAAAATAGAACAAGGCAAAACACCGATCTCGAAGCCAAAGTACTTTTTGTGTCCATAAACTCCGCGTCCCAGTCCAAGTACAAAGAAAGAAAAGCTAAACATGAACATGTGACGAGGAAAAAAAGAAAAAAAAGGGAACAAAAAACCAGCTCCAAGGGTCTCAAGAGTTCACCTCGGCGAACCAGGTGCGCAGCAGGCCGGCGAGGGCGTTCGGAAGGTCCTCGAGGTGGTGGACGATGAGGTAGTAGGGGAAGGGGAAGGTATCGAGGTAGCGCTCGAGCACGACGCGGCTGTTGCCGGCCTCGTCCTTGACGAACCTGGCCTCCTTGAGGTCGAGCACGCTGTCGCCGCCCTTGCTGCTGCCGGGACCGCCGCCGCCGCCGGCGTGGTCGTCCATGACGATAAAGACGGGCATGATGCGCTGCTCCATGGCCTCGCGTAGTAGGCGGCGGATGCGGTCGTGGCTCGACGACGGCGTCAGGCCGTCCGACATGATGAGCGCCAGCTGCCAGAGGTCTTGGTGCTGCGATGACGACGACGACAACGCGCCGAGGCGCGCCTCGGCAAAGTGGTCGATGACGCGCCGCATCAGCAGCGCCACGTCGGTGCGGTCCTGGCCGAAGCCGAAGCGCTGCAGCACGCGCGCGCCGGCCTCGACGGTAGCCAGGGGCTCCGACAGCTCGTGCGCCACAAACACGTCGGACCCGAACCCGAGCACGCCCACCTGGCCGACCTCGAGCATCGTCAGCGCCCGCGAGACCATGACGAGCGCCTCGAGCGCGAGGGCGCCGGGGCCGCCGCCGCCGCTGCCGCCGCCCATGCTTAGGCTGTCGTCGACGCAGAGCAGGATCTGGTATGAGCGCTTGGTGGGCACGCTGCGGCGCATCCAGATCTTGTCGCGCTTGTAGCCCGACGCGATGTAGGGGATGATCTTCTTGATGTTGAGCCGCTTGCCCGTGCGGTGCGAGCCCGAGAGCTTGGTGGCCTGCGACGGCGCCAGGATCAGCCGCAGCTGCGACGTCAGCGACAGCGACATGGCGTGCGTCCGCGCCTGCAGCCCGCTCCACCACGAGACGCACTGCCCGAGCTCGCGGTGCTCCCGCCCCGCCTCCTCGCTGCCGCTGATGTGCGTGCTCGACAGCTGCGTCGAAGTCTCCTTGACCTCGGCGTCTTCCTTGTCGGACCCGTCCTCGTTGGCCCCATCGACGTCGTGCTGCTTGGCGTCGGCTTCGTCTTTATCGAACGCCCCCTGCTTGGTCGAGACTCCGGTTCGCCCTTGGTCACGCTCCCCTTTGCCTCCCCGCTTGCCCTCGCCTTCGTCGGCGCCGTCCTGCTCACCCTCTGCTGCAGGCGATGATTCTCGCATCTTGTCGTCCTCGCCGTCGTCCTCAGCATCGTCGAGCAGCAACTGCGGCTTGTCCTTGCCCGCATCGTCGACAGCGTCATCTATTGCCATAGAGTCGTCGACCGGACGGGCCTCCTCGTCAGTCGCCGCGCCCAGAGCCTGCGTGTCGGCCGGCGCGTTCTCGTCTTGTAGATGTTGGAACTCGTCTGGCACGACCTCCTGGTCGCGCTTCTGCTGCTGCTGGTCGGCACTGCCTTGTTTGTCTTTGGGGGCCTGGCTGATGTCCTTGTTGTTGCGGTACCACTTCTCCAGGAGGTCTCCTAGCTTCTTGAACGGCGGGGCCGCTTCGGGTCCCGACGACTGGCTGGGATCCTGCTCGCCGTCGGGCTGAGGCGCGTCTTGCATGTCGTCTCGCATGGCTGCCGTCCCCCTGCTGCTTGCCGCCGCGTCTTTCTCGGCGCCCGTCTCGCTGATATCGCCCTGCTCTCGCTGGCCCGACTCGTCGGCCATATCGTCTCTGCTCTCCTGCTCTTGGCCGCCGGCCTGGTCCTGCCCACCACCACTCGCTGGCTGGCTGGTGGCGCTTTTGTCGGCTGTGTGGTCATTTGCCTGCATCTGCTCCTTTTGTTCCGTCTTCTCCGACTCCTTCTCATCCTGCCCATCATCGGCCTCCGCCGTCTCCTCGTCGCCGCCATTGTCCACCATCCCATCTTCGGCGCCCGAGACCTCGACATCGTCCTGAACCTCGTCCTCGCCATCATCCTGGACCTCAGCTTCCCCGTCGTCTTCCACCCCCTGGGGCTTGCCGTCTTGCTCCGTGACGCTCTCGGAATCGGACTCGACATCGGCCCCATGCTGCTCTTCAGGCTTGTCAATATCGGCAGCGTCCTCGAGGCCATCGTCGTCAGATCCAGCCGCGCTGTCGCCTTCATCGTCATCTCCTAGGTCGAGGTCCATCTCATCGGGAAGAGCCAGAGTCTCGGCCTCCTGGACGTTCTGGTCTTGGCGGTTAAGCTCCTCTTGCGCCTTGGCCTGTTCCTCCTCCGGCCCCATCTCCTCGCCTGCCTCCGTGTCTACAGCCTCTTCACTCTCTTGTTGTTCATCCGCCGTCGCTTGCTTTGTCGAGTCGGTCGCGCTCATCTCCTTCTCTTTTTGCTCCTTCCCCTTGGCTGCGTCTCCCTCCTGATCCTTGTCGGCCTCCTCGCTCTCGTCATTCCACATCTTTTCGTCGACGGCCGTGGGATCTAGGTCGTCCACGTCGCCCGCCTGCTCATCCATCTCGTCATCGCCGTCTTCATCTCCTGATTCCGCACCGCTCTCCTTGTCGTCACCTCCATTGACGCTGCCGAGGTCTCCCTCCAGTTCATCCATCCCCATGTCGATCGCGTCCTCATCGTCATCCATGTCGTCCTTGTCCTGCTGCTGGTTTGGTTCTTGGGCCAGCTCCGTTAGGTCCTCGTCCTCTCCGATGTCTTTGCTGATGTTCTCGGCACCATCGCCGTCCCCAAGACCAGTTCCACCTTCCATCTTGCCCTTGTCGCCCGAGGTCTCTTCCGACTTTTCTTGAGGCATGCAGAAGCCATGCGACGCCACGTCCAAGAAAGACCTTCCGAGTTGGTGTCCCATTCTGCAAACTGACAAGTGCAGTCGGGTTAGCTGCGTAAAAACCTCGCGACACACCGTCGAGTAGCTCTCAAAGATGGGCAGGGCCGCCGCCAGGATGGTTGTCGCTGCCAGGTTCTCAGACTTGTCCTCAAGATTGAGCCTCTTGAGTATGCGGAGGCACTCGTCGACCGTGGTTGCCACTGTGGCGACATGCAGAGATCTCAGGGACGTAGATAGCCCATTGCTGTACTCCACCAGCCACGAAGCCGTGTCTATCGACGAAGGCAAGGCTGCCATGTTTCGAGAAACGTTTTGGGTGGCACTGAGGACTTTGCGGACAACGGTCACGACTTCGTCGTAGAGATCTGACGTGGCCAGCGATGACGACTCTGTCACAGGGTGTGCGCCAGCAGTCGGCTCTTGCACCACTGTCCACAGCAATATTTGATCCAGCACAAACGACAGGTCTGGCCGCTGCCGGGAAATGTCGCTCAGATCTGACTGGAGGGCCCTCAGCAGATCGCGCGCTTGGTCGTAAATGCTCACTGCGTCCTGGGGGCAAAGACCGACCGGCAGCTTCGGAAGAGAGCGAATGCAGACAAGAAGCGAGGCAGACTTAGTTGCCCACGCCTGGAGGGACTCTTGCACAGGCTTGTTGTCGAGCTTCCCCAGAGCAGCGTGTGCACCAATCACATCAAGTGCAAGCTTTAGCACCTGCACAAGCCACTCGAGGACGTGACCGAGGTCGGTAGCTTGCTGTCCCTGGGTGGAGAGCAACGCTTCGGCTTTCTGGCCCCGGGTGGAGGCGAGCTTGGTAATGCTCTTTATCATGTCGAGCGAGCCCGCAAGATGGGACATGGCTCGGCTCCCGTCCCCGATGATATCCCGTTGCTGCCGAGCGACAAAAAGGATGCCCTCAAGATAGCCGGCGCTCCTGCGGGTCGTCTCATGGTCCAAATCTGCGTGGTGGTCGTGGACTGCCTGCCTCCATTTCGGCGCAACGTCGACTAGCCTGTCGAGTTGGTACTCTGCAAAGGCCCTGTGCGACCCCATGTCGTCGAGCGGCCGGGTCCCTGCAAGAATGGTTGCTGTAGAGTTCTGCCGCGAGAGTCGGTCCTGACTGAGGTTGGAGCTAAAACCCATCTGGCGGATCGATTTGACAGTATCGCTGAAGAGCTTGGCTTTCATGAGCTTGAGGTGCTTCGCCCGGTCTTTAGTCTCGTCGTTGAGGAAGGCAGGCGTGTCCTTGCGCAGCTCAGCGATGGATGAAGCCGTATCAGAAAGGAATGTCTCCAGCAGGTCGACAGCCGCCACGGCCGAGTCTGGCACGGCTCCGAGTTTGATCATCTTCTTTGCAAGTTGCCCGGCCCTCGAGAGTCTAATACCGCCTGCAGCCTTGCCCTTACTCGTCTCGAGTTCCTCGCAGCTTTGTGAGACCCCCTCCCAAGCCGTGGCCGAGGTAGTGTTGTGGATGGTGCCCGAAGGCATGATACTAAGCTGACTGTGGCTAGGAATGCCCTGATCGACAATGATAGGCGTCATGGGCTGCCCGAGCACGGCGCGGAACTTGCGCACTAGCCTGAAGAGCTTGAGGTGGGATTTACGGGAGCTCTCCCTGAGGGCCACAACGTTGGTGTCCTTCCAGCTTGCCAGAAGCAGCACATCCCGCATTGTCTTTTCAAGCGGCGCCCTGCCACGCCGCATTGCTTTGGTAGCCTTTACCTCGAACCGCGAGTAGAATGTAATGAAGTTGCGGATGCCATCGTTGATGGTTCCGAGAGGCTGATGGTCCGAGGCCAGAAGTTCTAGGTGTTTCTGCAGCTGCCTGAGCAGTTTTAGACGACTGGCGAACGCGCCAATGGTTGAGTTGGCAAAGTACTGTTCCAGTTCCTGTAGGAGAGCAGGCGTGTGGGCGCGCAGATCCACACCCTTCTCCATCAGAGCCAGCGGCCCGGCGATGACGGCCTGGTAAGCAACAAAGTACCACGAGTCGGCATCCTCCTGACACATGCGAACCTCTGAGTCCAAGAGTCCGGCCCATGTCGAAAGCTCCAGGCGCCGCCAGCCGACGATGGTGTCGGTCAGCCTGTCGTAGAGCGCAGGGGCTGCGTATTGGCGGCTGGCATATCCGCGGAACTGCCACTCGTACATGAACTCGTGAAGCTTCTCCACACGAGGAAGCATCTTGGCCACAGGTTCGGCATAGCCAAGCTCCAGAACGCGCGTGCAAGCCTCAATAACGTCGGCAATGGGCTGCAGATGGCCGATCTCGTCAACCTTCCTAAGCTCGCGGAATCGCTCCATGATCTTATATACAAGATCGATGAGCTTCCTGGCCTCTGCGAGGTTTTGGTCCTTGTAGAAGTTGTATGTAGCAGCGGCGGTGGGCGAGCGCACTCTTCCTAGCTCGTCTTGGAGCGCTAGGATGACAGCGGGGAGAAGTGCCTTGTCTCGGCTACCGAAGTTGGGTGGTTCGATGCCGAGCCTGGCCGCGTTGCGTCCGGCGTCCTTGCAGAGTGTCCGGACGTTTTTCTCTGCGTCGCCTTGCTGGAGGAATATCTCTCTGTGAATCTGGGCTAGCTGGATCGACACGTCTCGGACCTTCCCGGGCCGCTTGCCCGGCGCACGGCTCTCCGTCGCCTGTGTCTCAGTAGTGGTGTCGTAGTCAGGGAACAGGTTGTCAAACTCGGCCTGGTCGTGTTCTTCCTCATCCTCGAAGCTGCCCCTGAATCGGTAGAGGCTGCTCTTGACCTCTTCCGCCTTTCGCTCAGCAGCCAGCTTTTTTCCCCATTCCTCATACAGGAAGTGGAGGCATTCGAAGATGGACCGCCGCGCCTCCAAGCACAGGCCCTCGAGACCTTGTACAGCTGCGTATGTCTTGGCCACTAAAAGGAACTCCAAAGATCGCGCGGGAAGATTGTGGGCAGATGGCTTCCACATGGAACCACCAACGAGAGGCGTTACAGCGAGCAATGCGCTTTCGCTGCGCTCACCCTCGGGACGGCCCACGACGCAGTGCTCCGTAAGAGATAGGCCGATTTGCAAACTCCGGAGGAAGCTGACCAGCGGCACCGTTAGATCTTGGTATGCAACAGAACTCCCAGCAAGTCGGCTGATGAGCTGTGCCACGTTGGTCTTGAGGAGCTGGAGCCCTTCAAGGGCCTCCTCGGGTGCCGCAACCGAAAGGATCCTGAAGTGCAGCTGGGTCACGTCTCGCTTGACGATGGTGTTGAGGACATTATTGAAGTCGCCCTGGATCTTGGAGTGCTCCTGTCCAGAGAGTCTGAAGATCGGACGCGCCCCAGGCGGCCCGTCGCCCATAGCCGTCACCTCATCCGCCACGAGCGTGGTCCGCAAAGAACGGGCACCATCGCCAAACTTCCCGTCAAAGCCAACCAGAGCGGAGAGTCTATGGCGCAGGGATTGGAGAAGGTCCTCGTAGCTCTCGCGCTGAACCTTAACTCTCAGGTGAGGATCAAAAGCCTTGTCTGGGACATAGAGTTTCAGGCAGCCGATGGCGAATTGCACCCAAGCGATTGCAGAGAAGGTGTGGCTGGTGCCGGGCTGCAACGTCTTGTTGGATACTGCGAGGGCAAGGATTGCTGGAAGGAAATGGTCGTTCATGATACCCTCGGCGGCCGTAGATGCCGCCCGCGGGAAAGACGACCGGAAAGGCTCGATCGTCTTTGCAATCCACGGTTCTGTCGCCTGTACCTCCAGGTTGCTGTCAATATGCCCCGCAAAATCGCTGTACATCACGGCCAAGTCCTCTTTCGTATGGTTACCATGAGCGACAACCGCGGTTACTACCAGCTCCCAGAGGATCCTGTTGAGCCTCAAGACTGCGCCTGCTGATATTTCTCGGGTTGTTGCCGCGAGTCCTTGACCCAGTAGCGGCGCCTCTACTTCGAGAGATCGCAAGGACGCGAGGGTGCCAGACCTGATATTGGTCATCCCTAGCAGGAGCGAGGCCGAAGTGCTCCCGGTCCAAGGAAGCACGCTTGAATCCTGACAAAGCAGATGGTCTAGCATTTGTAGCTGCTCGGCAGAGCCACTGGAGCTCTGGTACCGCATCAACGAGGTTGTGGGAGCGTCGCAAAGCGCCATCCAGACCCCTCGAGTCTGTTCATCTCCGTCCGAAAACCCATGGAGCACCGCCATCTTGCGTAAAGCCTCAAACTGGTGAGAGAAGACAGGGGCGACCCCTTCAGACCCTTCAGTCTTGGATTCAAGAGCAGATATCTCGCTGGCGGCCGCCTCCAGCAGGCCCCGCGTGTCCGCCGTGGAGAATCGGATAAGGGAATAAGCCTTGGCCAGGCTCGACGTGACTTCATCCAGTCCACTTGGAGTTGCGCTCGTTTTCCAGCGGACGGAATCGAACCTCTGTGCAAGGCGCTCCATCTCCACAACCTGGGTGAACCTCTCGAGGTCGGGAATGGGCTCGGGGCGGAAGGCTTTCCACATGATTTCCATACTGAGGCCTGTACTCAGTCTGAACCCGAGTTCGAAGGCTGCTGTGAAGTTCGCCGTGATGGCGGAGACGAGACCTTGCCCCCGAGGCTCGAACCTATTGGCGAGCTGCGTCAAGAGCTCCGTTCCGTGCAGTAAATGAGCTTGGAACGTAGCCTCTTCGAAGTCTTGGGCCGAGACAAGAGCAAATGTCCTCCACCAATAGTGCATCATCAGACGGAAGGCCTGTCTCTTTGCCAGCCAACTGTCTGCACCATTTAGCGAGGTTTCTAGATATTCTCTAACGGCTTCGACAATGAAGGAGAGGAACCCGGACACGGATACCGTCGAATCCTTGGCCACAACAGCAACCTGCTTTGCAATGCAAGATCTCTGGAACCGGTTGAGTGAGGAAGGCTTGGTGATATTGACTGTCCGCATTTGGCTCGCCATTGCCTCATCCGCCAGACAGAGCTCGGTGTACAGCTCGAGGCAGGTGGCCAGCCATTGAGGCAGACCGGGAACTTTGCAGTCCAAAAGCGTCGCGACAGTAGAGTCCTGGAGGGGGTGGACTGGCTGCATTTCCACGAAATAGCGCTTCTGGCTCGGCTCTTCGGCGCCCAGAAGCGCGCTATCCGGGATGGAACTATACATGTTGAAGACGGCTGTGCCCAGGGCAGATGCGAGACCGGGCGAGCCCTGTGCCTGGGCATATGAGATCAGAATATCCATGTACTTGAGCAGGTTCGGTGGCGGAAGTGTCGGGCTAAGTAGGCCCCGGCTCATTGATGCGTGGAAGCGAGGAAGTAAGGATAGGTCGCTGAGGGAGAGACTGTCCGCGGCGACAAGAGCTGCGTCCTGGGCACCGGCGTCTAGCGTAGCGAGACACGAAGCTGAGATGACCTCGTGGTACCTGAGCATACAAGCTTCGACGTGGCCAAGGTACCGGGTGTGGCTTTCCATTTGCGGCGGCGCGTCATCCAAGAAGATCTCAACCGAACGGTTCCTCATCGCCCGGGACAGCTCGCCGTAGCGCGGGTCCATTGTCATGAAGACTCGAAATTCGGGGTGCGGAACTATGATCCGCGGCTCGCCGTTGGGTCCGCTGTGCTCATTGATGCTCAGGAAGCCTCCCGGGCGTTCGAGGAGCGAGTTGAGGCGGTCCAAAACCGAAGCGCTGCATAAGTTTGCGTTGTCCAGAACCAACCATTGGCCAGTTTGGGCGGCCTTTACGATGGCGCCGTCAGTCCATTCAAACCGCGGATTCTCCAATTGAAGTGGCTGCTGCAGGAGCTTGAAACAGTGCTCCAAAAGACCGCCAAGTTCAGACCCAGCCGAGACCTCTGCTGCAAGTTGCTGGATCGCGGTCGTGACGGCAGCGACACCGAACCCACCAGGCTGGCGGTTGCCGCGAATATCCCCAAGAAGACGCAGCAAACCCGAGGCTGGTGTTGACGTTCTTATAGGGTCCCGCAGGACGTAGGACCGGAGACACCGGTAAAGATTGGCCAGGCTGGCAATGACCTCCCTCATCGAATCCGCCTGCTCAAATCCTCCCACCAGGTCCATGGTGTCGACATCTGCGTTAAGATGGAAGACGACGAGGTTCTTGCCCGCCATAGCCGAAGCGCGCTGCAAGAGGTGTGATTTGCCAGCGCCTGAAGCACCGACGAGGATGCAAGGAAGGTCTTGCCTAACACACATCAGGAGCGACTCGAGGTCACCGAGGCGCGAGGCAGTATTGTCCGAGTCCGATGGATTCAGGGGGCTGAAGGTGATGTCCCGCCGCAGAATTCCGGCCCCGACGCGCGAAAACAACGAGTTGGTGCTGCGGAAGCGACTGTAGCTCTCAGGATCCCGCCCGAAAAACTGGCGGAAGAGCTTCGTCACCTCTTCCTTATCCGAAGGGGTGCGGAAGCGCTGGCGAATTACCATGTCGACAAAGTCCTCTGGCCTCCTCGGGCCCAGAGAGGACGTATGAGAGCCGAGCAGCTCAAGCCACCGGAGGGTGTCGCGAAGATTGAACTCCCAGGGCGAGCCATGAGACCCAAAGAGCTTCTTGGTCACAACCTGGTCATCTAGGGCCGTGATAAAGCCAATCAGCTGTCCAACTGTCTCTCGAGGCACTCCATCAGCTCGTTTGGATGCGATCGCCATCTGGTCCTCGGATGTGAACACGTCGGCGTAGACCAGAATGAAACGATTGACGAATGAACTGGGGAGCCCCTTGCGGCCGCCGCCTTGCTGGTGTGGGTTCTGAGCAGCGAAGATGCGGAAGTCGGGGTGACGCTTGAAGACCTGGTCGAGTTCGGAGATGTAAACCTCACCTCTATGATCGAGGCATGCATTAAGCCCTTCTAGCACGGACTGGGACGCGAGGTTCATCTCGTCGAGGAGGACCCATTCACCCTTTTGCATTGCCTGCAGGAACGGCGCGTCACGCCAGGCAAAATTTCCTGCCTCGGCGCCCTCTACCGGAACGTCTGTGCCAAAGAGATCCATGAGATCGGTCTGATCTGAGAGATTGATGCGAGTGAGATTCCTTCCGCAAGCTGTGGCGATGGCACCGACCAGCGTTGTCTTGCCCACGCCAGGGTTGCCCTCAAGCAGGATTGGCTTGTTGATCTGTAAGGCCCGGACGACTCGCATCGCGTTGAGCTTTGTTGTCCGCGCTTCGAAGGCGAATGTGCTGCGCTGTATGTCCAGATGGCCAGTGCCGCATGTTGGAATAGTGAAGTCGCCCGCCGAGAAGTTGGTTGGCGTGATGCGGATCCCCGGCTCGGCGTTGTAGAGTGCATCAACCGCGGCCACATCCCCCACAAGCTCTACCAACTTGGCCAGACACATCTCCTTCTGTTCTGCTATGCTCTTGGAGTCGACAGAGATTATGGCAGAGGGGTTCGCTCCGAGCGTGTCGATGAAAACTGCCGCAGCTCCATGGACCAGAGCAAAACCAGGAGGCCTACCGGCGCATTGGTTGGCGAAGGCCACCCACACCAAGATCTCGCGGATGGAGACGGCTGTTGCGGAAGATGCACGTAATGTGTGGCCAAACCAATGCGAGAACTCGACGATTGGGCTCGCCAGTGCCGCGAACTCGGCGTCCAGCTTGGCAACAACGATGTCTTGGACGTCTTGTTTGTCCGCAAGTGGTGGCACCCAGATCTCAGTGAACCGATTCCTCAGAGCAGGCGACAGCTCTTTCTTGCCGAAGTCGCCTCCGGGATTCATTGTCGCAAAGAGCTGGAACCCCCGAGCCGCCTCGATCAGCTCAATATCAACTCCTTTCTCCGCAAGAAGAAGCGTTCGCTGGGGCTCCAGTACCGAGTTCAACCTCTCCAATACTGAGTCATCGGCGAGGGAAATCTCGTCTAGGAGGAAGAAGCTCCCAGTCTTCATCGCCTGGACAAGGCTTCCATCAGCCCACTCAAAGAGAGCCTTGCTCCTCGCATTGTTAGTCCTAATCCGTTCCCTAATGTCGCCTGGAATAAGATCTAGCTCCACAGACGGCAGGCCGTTGTATGCTTCCAACAGCTGCTCGACCGGGCCGTCAGTCGGAAGCGAGAGGCCCTCGAGGACATGAACAAGATCTCCCCTCAGCATGTCCGTGATGGCACCCCGATTGCGCACAGGTCTCTGGGAACCCAGCAAGTCACCTGTCTCGGTATTCTGATGAGCATTTACAATGTGCAGCTCCTTGCCCGTCGCTTCGGCGAGGAGCTGACACACGGTTGTCTTTCCACAACCCGTTTCTCCGACCAGGATGACAGGCTCGTTCTTTCGAAGTGCTTGCGACACAAGAACAAAGATGCGGCGCATGGCCCATGTCCATGTGACGCCCTGAGAGTTGTGCTGCAGCTCATACTTTCTCGCTTCCTCGGAGAATAGGCGGTCGTAGAGTGCTCTGGGATCAATCTGCACTTTGAAAACGTCTTGAATCACGCCCTGCACAGCAAGTCTCTCCTCCTCGTTACGCACGCGCTCTGCAAGAAGCATATAGCCGTTCTGTGCCACCTGATCGCGGTTGTCGGCGTCACGCAGTGCCCACCTGAACAGATCTCGCAGTGTCGCGAAACTGTCCTTCTGCTCGAATACTCTGCTGGTCTGCCGGAGGCGCGAAAGCTCCTTGTATACGGCGACAATTCTCCTGCAATCAGGAGGCGAAGTCCCGCGGCACCTCCTCTGCAGGATCTCCTCCAGCTCATCCTCAGGGATGTCGTCAAAGTGGAGCTCGAGGAACCGGTTACGAAACGCGCGAGAAAGCACCTTCCTACCACCATAGAGTCCAGGGGGGTTTTGCGTCGCGAAGAGAACAAAGTCCTCATGCGGCCGAACAACCTCCTGGGTCTCCGGGATCAGAAGCTCGTGGTTGTCGTCGAGAAGGCGGTTCAGGGCTTCGAGGACGTCTGTGGGCGCCAGGTTCAACTCGTCAAGAACGACCCATGAGCCTTGGCGCATCGCCTGGACCAGGATGCCTTCTTGGAACACCAGCTTCCCATCGGGACCCGAAACGTATGTGCCCAAATACTCCTGCAGGTCTGTGTGCTCGTGATTGTTGATCCGCAGGAACTTGTTTCCGCTGTAGTTTGCGAGGTACTCGATCATGCTGGTTTTTCCTGCGGATGTCGGCCCCTGGATCAGGATAGGGAAACGTCTTGTGGAAGTTGCGCGGACAAGGTTCAACAGGTTGCGCTCAACGTATCGTGTCCGGATATAGTCTGGGCGCTCCTTGGGCTCCTTGGCGCCTTGTAGAAGCCAGTACTGGCGGTCCTTTTCCGTGCTTACGAATTTGACGTATTGTCTGCCGTCATCGGGGCGTTTGGGAGACTTGGAGGCAGGTCCGGAAAGTCGCTCTGTAATCAGAGGCAGCACGAGATTTTCTGACTTTCGGTCAAGATGAGTGAGGAAGCCCATGCAGAAACCCTCGAACAGTGATCGGTACAGTCCGTAGACGGGAGCGACGTCGTCGACGTATGTAAGGACTCGCGTCAAGGTCCGAAGGCTGAAATGAGGAACCTCGTTTGCGCCATCGACCAGTGCCTTGTCCTCAGCAAGCTTCTTGATTTCCATGTAGAGACTAGCAACGCGATCGGCGGCCTTGTCGATGGTGCTGTTGTTTCCTTTGAGGTACGTCTTGATTATTACGATCAGATCTTTCTGGTCCCTGTCTGGGCTGCTGACGTAGAACTCAGTGAAGCGGGAGCGAAGTCCAAGAGGCAGATCCCGTTTGCCAACATCGGTTGCCGGGTTCATTGCCGCAAATATGCGGAAATCTGGGTGCGCCTGGATCCTCTCGATCTCGCCAGTCTCTGAGAGCAGAATCGACGGGGCTTCTGTGGGGTCCGACTGCAAGAGGTCCGCGATGCTCTCAAGCGTGTCAGCGGACGCAAGATTGATCTCGTCAAGCAAGACCCAATCGCCATTCCTGACAGCCTTGACGATGTTTCCCTCGCTGAAGGCAAAGGCAAAGGCGCCAGAACCGCCCGACATCTGTATGTCAAACTGCTCCAGGTTCTCTGAAAACTTATCCCAGCGGGGTTTCAGCTCCAGCAGCGAATCCAGCTTGGAAGTGCCTGTCTTCCGTCGTTTGGAAGGCTGGACTTCTGCCGCTTCCAGGCCTTGCTGGCGCTGCTTCTCCCGCAGTGCCTTGATGATGTCGTCAAACATTTTGGGAGCCTGGCGCCAGAGCTTGCTGACATCTGCCCATTTGCCCTTGGCGAGATTTTTTGATATCTGGCCCAGATACTTCTGGTTCCGCTCAGTAGAGATGCCCGTAGCGGCAAAGAGGTCTTCAAACTCCTCCCTCAGCGGTAGCGCAAGGCTCCTCGGGTTTACTGGCTTGAAGCCACCTAGAAGGTCTCCAACCTCACTTTGCTGTGAGAGGTTGACAGCAACGAGTTTGTGCCCGAGGCAGTCGGCCAGTTGCTGTACCACAGTCGTCTTTCCGATGCCCGTCTCGCCGACCAGCAAGATTGGCTCCCTGAGCTTTGTCGACACGGCAATCTGCTCGAGCAACCTCTTGGCGTGCGAGGTGCTCGCAAAAGGACGCTTCAGTCTGAAGAGTCGGTTGGGCCGTCGGGGCTTGGTGAGGACAGCACGCCCGGCGACCAGTTGGGACTGGCCGTCATCAAAGGCTGGAGAGTATGCCTGGAGAATGTGTGAGACACGCTCAGGCGACATGTGCATCTCGTGTCCGATCGCGTGGGCGAGAAGGTCCCGGGCAGCCAGGTCCTTGAAGCTTCCCAGGAAGCAGTCCACGGCTTCCATAAACATGTGGCCGACCGTGGTGTCGCTGACTGGTTCGCCGCCCGACCTGCTGCCGGCCGATATCAAGACGTGCTCGAGGCGCCGGCACCATCTGAAGAGATCCCTCGCGTTTACGGGACGCTCCAGGGCGCTGCGGCTTATTGACATCGCAGAGGGATTGCGGAGCAGGTGGGTGAGTCCGCTGAAGACAGATAAGATCGAGGGGGCGAACCGGGCCAAGAGTGGAAATCTTCCGTTGACTACCTGCAGTAACTCTTGCTGCGGAAGCTGCTTGACTGATAGGCGCTGCCAGAAGCGGTGGCCCAGGAAGAAGGGCAGATTTTCCTGTCCATCCATTCCCAATGATGTCCTGACAGTCGCAAAGATACGGAAGCTACTTGGCGCACGTACAGTCTCTCCTCGACTGGGCACCAGAAGCTCTCCACGCTCGATAAGTGGGAGCAGCGTGCTCATGACCTCGGTGGGCGCTCGGTCAAGGTCCTCGATCAGCACCCAACGGCCCTCCTGCACAGCAGTGGTCAAGATGCCTGGCCTCCACTGGAATGATCCCGGCTTGGAATCGGCCGTGTAAAGCCCTATCAGCATCTTGGCGTCGGTCTGTTCGTTCAGATGTAGTGCGACAATCTTTTGATCCATGCCAAGCTCTGCCGCCGCCTCTTGAATCAGTGATGTCTTCCCCGAGCCCGACAGTCCATGTAGAAGAATAGGGCCTGGCTTCCGCAAACGCATTGCCAGCTCCTCGAGATTAGATATGGTAGTGGGTGTCGAGATGAGTGATGAGCGCTTGTTAGGAGTAGCTACGTCTGCGGCCATAGCTAGGCGAGGAATAAGAACCTTCCCCCATGACACAACAGAGGAAGTGAGGGTCTGGGGAGGGAATGGAGGCGACGTTGCGTTGTGGAGGGCCTGTTCAGAAGCAGCCAATTCAAGATGACGATGCAGTTTCTTTGCTCGCGCATGTTCGAGCAGACTAAGAAACATGTAATCGGCATCCTGGCCGTCGAACTTGGCCTCCAGAGGCTGGTTTTCTCCTACGTGCTCCCGGATGAGTGTCTCCAGGGTGAAGTCCGAGGCCGAGAAGAGTTGGCAGTAGATGCGTATGGCCAGATACCTGACCACGCGAACCCGATGCTTAAAAAGCGATTCGAGACGCAGAGGAACAAGGGGAGAGTAGGCTTGCTTGTCGAAGCTCATGAGCCTCCAGACCGAGAGAAGCAATGAGACCGGATCCGATATAGCAGATGAGTCCGGGGCACAGCCATCACGGTGCTGACACTGTAAAACCAGCCGCAGTCCTTCGTCGTCCACATGCTCAAGTACCACGGTTGTTCCGCGGAGATAGCTCTCGAGGAATACAGATAGGTGAGGGCCGAGCGGCAGTACCCTCGCAAATGCTGATATCACCCGCTCAAGCTGAAGCACATGATGCGCTACGCTGCCACGAACCCATCTCGCCGCGACATCTGCGAAAACGGGCTCGAAATGGGAAAAGAGCCTGTCTGTAAGCTCCGGCTGATCAAGGGTCACCTTGGCGACAGCGTCCAGACAGTTTGTTGAGCTCTTCCACCAGCCAATGTTCTGCAGCTCTGAAGGCAAAAGCCCGAATGTGGTCGCGTCGCCGAGTAAAGATCGGATCTGAGGGCTCGCGTCGATTTGCGCCATGTTGCTGGGCTAGGCAGGCTTGCGCCGCCTGGGGTCAGGATTGTATGGGGTAAAGAAATTTGGTAATGTGCATCGAGAATCCTGGGCTCCTAGGTATTGTTTATTCTGCGGTGTCTTCTTGTGCGCATTCATTCATTCTGCGTCGTGAAGCTTATGCCTTTTTCACTTCCTTTTCTCCCACCCATCTTTTTTTTTTTCCTTTTGACCTTGACGTTCAGAAAATTTCCAAAAGAGGCAAGGAGCTTGGACCACATATGCAAGGAAAACCAGGGAGGCTCCAAAAATACCCCACCAATCTAAGCCAGTGTGTGCCACACATTGAGGAGGGGATTGGTTGTGCCACAGGGCGTGGGAAAATCGAAGTGAGCAGCCACAATTTTGGAGTCGATCGCGGCGCGGGAGCCGTTGGAGGGTGCATGAAAATCTATCGAAATCTCGTCAAGGAGCTCAAGCCTGGCCTCACCTCGGCGCCCGCGACCTCCACATAACCCGGCAAGGCCTCCTGTACTTCCCCTCCAATCTCGACCATGTCTCTTCCCTGCCGACACGCTGCGCTGCGCTGCGCCCGGCAGCTGCACGTGTCCAAAGCCCTCGGCGCACCCAGTTACCTCACACAGCAGAGGATAGGCAGGCGGCACAACACGACCGATGCGGCGAGCCCCAAGATTTCCGGGATTGTGGACCAGATTAGCCAATTGACACTGCTAGAGACGGCGGAGCTTGTCACCAGCTTGAAGGCAAGCCCCCCCCCCCCAGGCGCACGCGCGGGCAGAAAGGCCGGCCGGCCGGGCACTTTGATATTAACAAAACGCCCACGGATCTAGTCACGGCTAAACATTCCCGATATGCCCGTCGGCGGCTTTGCGGCTGGCCCCGCGCCCACGGCGGCCGCCGCTGCGGCCCCCGAGGAGGCTGACGACGCAGCCCCGGCTGCTGCCGAGAAGACTGTCTTCACGCTCAAGCTGCAGTCGTTCGACGCCGCCGCCAAGGCCAAGATCATCAAGGAGATCAAGGGCATGCTGGGCCTGAGTCTGGTTGACTCAAAGAAGTTCGTCGAGAGCGCACCAAAGACCATGAAGGAGTCGGTACCCAAGGAGGACGCGGAGAAGATCATGGCAACGATGAAGGAGCTCGGCGCTGTTGTGACGATGGAATAGACCGCCAGGGCCGACAGCCATTCTTCGTCCGCGGAAACGCAAGCCGGGGGATGCTTGGGTGTGCCTCTGGCAACTTCGCAGGGGGGTTACAGCCACAACACCAACTGTAGGAACATGCCAGATGTATCATTACGCTATAAAGCCTTCTGTGCCCATATCCCACCACGCATGTCTCCTCTTCCTATCCCCGTTTGGTTATGTGCGGGGTGGGATTCGTGTCCCGCAGGTGAAGCCCATGCCTCCTGATCGTCCTCCACGATGTCCGCACCAGATAGGTACATCAGCTATTTCGAAGCTTGGCCATTGGTCTGCGCCGCGGCCTGTTGGTGCGCGCATGATCTGCGAAGCCACTCCAGACGCTCGAGGCGTTCCTCGTCGCCCATTATGTGGTCATCCTCGCCCATGTCGCTGGTCTCCTCCCACATCTTCTCCATCTCGGCGTCGTACCCCTCCTTCGGGATTGCCCAGATATCCTCGCGCAACCGTTTGTGGCGCTCGCGGTCCTCCTCTATGCGCTGCTCAACTTGCTTCCTCTCTAGCCGCGGCGGTGCCGGACCCCTGCCCGCCCGGGGGATAGTCTGGGACGGGGGCATGTCGCCCATGTCGTCATCGCCATGTGCGGGTGAAGACATGCTGATGTAGTGGGTCGCCGTCTCCCGTTCTCGCAGGACCTCGTCAATTTCGCTGACGGTCTGTGCTTCGAGGAAGCTCTTGTTCTGTAAGCCTTGCAGGACCTGTCGGTGGTATTCAGCATGAACGCGCGATCAAATATGGAGGATGCAGGAAACTAGGAATGGTGACGGCACGTTATACCTTACGGACAACCTTGACGTTGGCGGCGCCGGACCCGTTCTCTGGGGCGACGGCGTCAACGACGCGGATGATATCCCGCTGCAGCATGCGGGCATAGTCGACATTGCCCTCCTTGAGCGCGATTTCAAGAAAGTGCTCGATGAAGTACATGATGTTGGCCCTCGTGTTGACCGGAGTTTCGGGCTGTGTTCGTTGTTAGTACTTCGTTTCTAGCGAGCGGCGCGAGGGCTTGCAGGCCGGCATATGACTTGGTCTGGTCAACTTACCTTCTCGAGCTGCTCCAGGATACACGAGTGCAGATCCTCGTCCAAGTCTTTGTACTTGAGCGCGTAGGCGGCTGCCTTTTGGGCCGACGCAACCGAGGCATTGAGGTTTTGCAACTGGGAGCTGAAGCGCACCCGGACTTCGAAAGGGTCCGCCATGCCCAACACTTATTGCTTGCGCCAGGGATGACGTGAAAGGTCTACCTGCGACGAGCCTCCCCACGCTCCTTGGAGCGATTGGTCGGCGGCTTGCTGCGCGAACCAACCGCTAGACACCTTCGGCTATCGGCAGATAGGGATCTTCAAACGTCAAGCGTCAGTAGAGGTGACTACCAGTAAAGACGCATATTTTGCGACGTGTTGGTATCATTTGATAGACATAGGCACCAGCCTAGGTACAGGTATAGCACTGACCTCAGCAGTCTTCACCAGTCTCGCGCACAATGGAGACCATGGAATGGGGCCCTCGCATGGCCTGCATCACTAGGTTTGCGTGGCAGGAGGGGCGATGCGTAAGGGAGGCGGCCAAACCTCACAAGGCCCCTGTGGTGTTCAGTGCCTGATATGCGGTTGTTAATCGGCAACTTATTCCTTCCATACAAGGCTGGCGCTCAAATTGATATGAATTCTCCCAGCCATCCGTTTCAATACAATGGCGACCGCGTGCTGACTGTCTGGCGTCGGCGCTAAAAACAGCGGCAGCCAGGGTCAAGGTTGGGAGCCCGGAGTGGTTCAAATAAGGGATTGACGTGCGTTCTTTGACGGTGAACCGTGCACTTCAGGGGCCTGTTTGTGCTCATCGACGAGCTTGCAGAAAAAAAAATCAAAGTGGGTGGAGAACGGGATGCAAGCTGAATCGCATGGATCCTCAGCCCAAATGCCCCGTCTCCTCCGGACCTCTCTTTCTATTTTGCTTTATGTGTCGTAACATAGAATTGGTGGCTAACGTTTGCAAATCCTCCTTTCCAACATTCAATCGAGGGCCACCAAAGGGGCAGCCTGGCCAGATAGTTGTTCAGAGGATACATCTATCACCGGACCCTTATCTCGAGTGATCTACTCGGACCGCGAAGCATCACCCCATCAAGATGCCTGACACAACAGGCAACGAGCTGACCATGGCGGTCCTGGGATGCGGCACCATGGGCATCGCCATACTGTCGGGGATCCTGGCCTCCCTCCAGGACATGGCCGGCCCCAAGCCGCTGCAGCCGGCGCCGTCCTCGTCTGGTACCTCGACGCCTGTGCACGAGGAGGTGCCCGAGCGGCTGCCCAGCCGCTTCATCGCCTGCGTGCGGCGGCCCGAGAGCGCCAAGAAGGTCAAGTCGGCGCTGTGGGCGCACTCGTCGGTGCTCAAGGTGGTGCAGAACGACAACCTCGGCGCTGTGCAACAGGCCGAGGTGGTGCTGCTGGCCTGCAAGCCGCAGATGGTCAAGGACGTGCTGTCACAGCCGGGCATCGCAAAGGCCCTGCACGGCAAGCTGCTCATCAGCATCTGCGCCGGCATCTCGGTCGCCCAGATCGAGCTGCACCTGCACGGCGCCGTGCCCAACCACGACCCGGACGTCGACGGCCGCTGCCGCATCGTGCGCGCCATGCCCAACACGGCCTCCATGATCCGCGAGAGCATGACCGTCATCGCGTCCACCGACCCGCCGTTGCCCGCGCACACGTCCAGCCTCGTGACCTGGATCTTCAAGCGCATCGGTGACGTCGTGTACCTCCCGCCCAGCACCATGGACGCCTCCACAGCCCTGTGCGGCTCCGGCCCGGCCTTCTTCGCCCTCATGCTCGAGGCCGCCGTCGATGGCGCCGTGGCCATGGGCCTGCCCAGGGTCGAGGCGCTGCGCATGGCGGCCCAGACCATGAAGGGGGCCGCCGCCTTGGTGCAGCACGGTGATCACCCCGCCCTGCTGCGGGACAAGGTCAGCACCCCGGGCGGTTGCACCATTGGCGGATTATTGGTTCTTGAAGAGGGCCGCGTGAGAGGAACGGTTGCCAGGGCCGTGCGGGAGGCCACTGTTGTTGCCAGCCAGCTCGGTAGGGGTGTGCAGGGCGTGAATGGCACCAGATTTCCCAGCCAGCAGTAGTGTTTGTGGGTGGAAGCAACACAGCGCATGGGGACGAAGCCTATACGAACCAGAATGAGGAACACGTAGATATGAAGCAAAACGAAAAAATATTAGAGACATTATCTATCCGGGTTGCAAGCCATGCGCCTACGTTGGCGTTCAAAATGCCACCATTTTCATATTCTCATTTCATCCCCGGTCAACTAGTAGTCTCCAACCAGCGAGACTAGACTAAATTTCCAAACTCCGACGCCGCGGACCGGACTGATAGAAACCCATGGCGAGTCTAATATCCCCCAGGTCCTTCCTTTATTCGCAAGGATCGTACACAAACATAACACGAGAGACAGTCTCGCGGACCATCCGAGCTAGCTAGGCCCCTGCTGAGTTACCCAGAAACCTCACTGTCCTCTCATTCAGAAACCTCCCACGACGCGGACAGCCAGGCTGATCCAATGAGATCCGCTTTTGAGCGTGCCAAAAGGCCGGGCTGTAGTGGCACATGGCGGGATTTCTAGCTATCATCGACCCGAGCCTTTTTGGCAGGAGGCGCGCTGTCCGCATCACCCTGCAACTTTCGCTTCCCGTTGGACGTCATGTCCGGGGCGCGTCTGTCCGCCAGGGCAATCAAGCGGGCATATTCCAGCTCCACGCTTCCCAATGTCTCGTTGAGCTTCTCTATACGATCCGAGCGATCGAGCTGGCTCAGAAGCTCTTTGTTGTGGCGGTACAGTCTCTGCTTGACAAATAGTTTCCACAAGTCGTACTCGTGTGTCTCAGCCTTGGTGGGCTTTGGGAGATCTGTCTCCTCAGCCAAGGTCGGTCGGACTGAATCTGCAAGCTTGGACATCAGGTGCATCTCGAGAACCCTAGCGAATTGCCTCGGCGCGATCCGGTAGAGGCAGCGAGTCTCCTCCGCCTTGACTTCATTCACGACGCCACGGGGTGCTGCGCCCTGTCTTGGGATACGGATATCCGTGTTGAGCACGAGCGCGGTGAACTCAGGCTTCTGCCGCAGCATAAGAAGGTCTTCGACGTCGCGCATGTCATCGAACGCCTCGTTGGGATCCTCCACAGTGACTTCGATGACGTGAGGGTCACGGAGACAGTGCTCGTAGATGGCGCGGTAGAGGCGGGAGCCATTGCCCGCCTTCTGGAAGGCGGGCAAGATGATGAATTGTGATATGCGTGAGCGGCTGCGCATGCCCGACAAGGGAAGCTCCTGGGCAAGGAGCTCAAGATCCTGACGAGGCGCGGCCTTGACGCCAAGAGGGTAGCGCTGTAGTGGGAAGAACTTGTAGACGGTCGAATAGCCCGCAAAACGGTATCGGGGGGCGGTGCCGTTTTGGTTGCTCCTATGGTATAGGAAATAGATGTCCCATCGGTCCAGGTCCGAGTCTTCGGTGTTGATGGGGCTGCCACCTTCGATAAAGAGAAGGACGAGAATCTGAATGCGCTTCAGAATCTGCTTGGCGGCAAGATCGGCAAGGCTGCCGCGGCGGACCTCGAAGGTGCCGCCATCTTTCGCATCGAATTGGGAGACTACCTCTCCGGGAGGAACCCAGTCTTGTGGGGGCTGGCGGACGGCATCCTCAAAATCGCGACTGCTAGAAAAGGCGACTGATGCGTTCAAGATGGGGTCAGAGACATCGTACAAGCGCAAAGCGATATAGCGCGAGGGCGGGTATGCGCGCGCTTACCTTCAGGAAGATGTTCGCGGAGGATGCCCTCGATATCGGTGGGCTCGGTTGCGCCTAGAGATTTGAATTTTTTGCCAGATTTCACCTTGAGGTGTGGTCGCATGTCGGCGACATGGTATCTGAGGCTGATTCGAAGATCCTGGTAGCCGAATATGCGCTCGTCGTCTCCAAAGATGGGGTATGTGAAGCTAGGATTGAAGCGCGCGACAGTATTGAGCTCGTCCGCGGACGACTCTACAAGGCTCAATTCCAGAGACTCGTTGGCGTCCGCCGACCCTGGAGAGCAAGCGTTAGGACGAAGTGAGGCGGGATGGGAAAGCGGTATCGGAAAGCCATCGGTCTCCCGCACTTACAGTTGCCGTTGGCCTCCGCCATCGCTTTGGAGCTCTGCGAGGTGGTTTGCGCTGAAGGAATTCACATGCGCCAGCCTTGTAGGGTGTGATCGGGGCTGCGTAGAGTTGGCGTAAATGTCAGAGCGCGCGCCTCAGATGATTGTGGGCGAAATCGTTGGAAGTCTTGAGCTGAGTTGATGGTTGGTGTTACTTCCCGCGGCGCAACTTCCCTCGGTCGCGCGATGAGCCAACGCGTCTGGTGCCGTGCCTGCATTTGGAGGAGCCAATTTAATGCACGGGCCATCGTGTCAAGTGGACCTCGGAGCGGGCAGGCAAGCATTGAGCCCGCCAAAGCAGCCCTGTGGACTGGAAGGATTGGAACTTCGCATGCAAGCCACCACGTCGTTCTGATGGAACTTTTGCCGGCTGCATTTTGATGGCGCACACGCAGCAGAGCTGTCACCGTCCCGCGATCAGTTGAGCTTTTCATCCAAGCTTGGTTTGAGCTGGCCTCACGCGCTTCTCTTGCCTCGACTACTGTTCGGCTCGGCTTTGTGTTTCCTATAGGCCCGACGATGGACTCGGCTCGGTAACGATCCGGACTCCTCTCCTTCCTGCGCCGAACAACCAACCAACGACAAAGCCGTCCATATTGCGCTTCGAGATTGTGGATTGCAGCCTGAACTCGGCCTAGCTGTATCGGATTCTGTTAGCGTCCCAATTCCCTCTTCTATCGCGAGGCGCACTCCTCAGCGACTGTTCCTGTGCGGAGCGGCTGGTCTCCTTTATCCTTTATACCTCTCCTCTCGCGCATCGCGCGCCTTCTCGCCGCCATGGGTGGCATACTACTCCTCTTGGCCCTCTGTGTAAGTTGCCCGCCAGCTTGGACCGCCCTCTCCATTGCCGTGGTATCCAGATAAGCGCTGTCTACATATCGATTATTGTCGTCTTGCTCTCGTCTGTGCGCATGGCTTGTGGCTAATTTGTTGGGCGCGCATGCAAATAGGTGGTCATGGCCGTAGCGTATGTTCAAGCAACCGTCTGAATTTTCCTCACATCCAACACCGACATCATGTCGCTCCCTGACGCTCTAAAGTCGCGATCACCCCGGCCCCCACAGTCAAGGCAGTCGACCTTGGAACCGCCACCACGGCGCGCCAGAGTCGGGATAAGACGCTAACATTGCAGTCGCTCGGATCAGATCTTTCGTTGCCGGCGCACTACCTCTTTCGCTAAGCCTGTCGCAGTCACAGCTCCGACTAATATCGAGTATCGGTGTCGGGATCCTTGTTGGGACATCCCTTATTGTTATAATACCGGAGGGGATCGAGGCGATTGCGACCACTGGGACCCACGCAGGGTCGACATCACACTCCCACGGCCCTAGAAATACACCACCAGATGTATGGACACTCGGCCGACGGGGTATTGCGGGCGTCGTGGAACAGTCGGGACGAATGCCTGGCGAGCAACGAGATGCTGTGCCGTTTATTCGAATTGGCGGGGCCGCGAAGCTCCATGCGCGCGGGGACGATGACTACCAAAGGTTAACACGAAGGCCCGTTGAGCAAAACGCTGCTGTGGCGATGGCCGGCAAAGCTCGGAGACGAGATGACCCACAAACAACGTCCTCGGAGGGTGGTCCTGGGCCGAAGCAAGAGACCAAGGATCGCGATGCGCCATCGTTTCCAACCTTTTATATCGGCTTCTCGTTGGCATTGGGCTTTGTCCTTATGTTCTTGATCGATCGTCTTCCCCGTCAGGCTATGGACCAATTCCAGACGGCACCTACTACCAGACACATCAGCTTAGATAACTTGGCGTCTTCGAGCGCTGGTCCCGAGGAGGAATCTGAAGGGTTTCTCGGCTCCCTTGCACCGACTCCCAGGCAATCTCGGAGCCTGGCAACGACGACAGGGCTTGTCATACACGCCGCGGCAGACGGCATAGCCATGGGGGCGTCAGCTACAACATCCAACATGAAGCTGGGCCTGATAATATTCGTCGCCATAATGATCCACAAGGCACCCGCGGCCTTTGGCCTGACATCTGTTCTGCTCAAACAAGGTCTTTCTAAAAGAGCAGCTCGGGGACATCTCATCGTGTTCAGCCTCGCCGCGCCAGTGGGGGCTCTCGCCACATATCTCTTCGCGTCGATGCTTGGCGGCCAGAGTCTGGATGGTGAGACGGGGCAGTGGTGGACTGGAATGCTTCTTTTATTTTCTGGAGGCACGTTTCTGTGAGTTATATCCAATGCCCCTTTGCACATTTGGTCGTTCGCATCACAGCTAACCCGACTGATATGCTGCTGAAGTTACGTCGCCATGCATGCAATGCAAGAGGAGACAAACTCGGCTCATGAGCACCATGGAGCTATGAACGGCTATGGAGAAAACGGAGGCCTGTCGGCAAAGAGACAGTCCCGTCCCCAGATGCGGGATACTGTCGCGACGGTTGTGGGGATGCTTCTGCCCCTGATCACTCAGCTTGGCCATCATCACTGAAGGCGCCCTCCAAAGTCGTGGCCGAGAACCGCGAAGCTCTCACCATGATTGCGGTGTTCCGCGGACAGCATGTCAGATCACTGGCCAATGGCTGTGAGGATCATGCTATTATGCAGGTCACGATTTGAATAAAGAAGGAACGGTGGGACATGCTCGTGGCCACAGGGTTGGCTGCTATCAGATGTGTTGAAAACATCAAGACAAGAGGCCTGCGAACGGCGTTGGTGGGGCATATAAATCATTTGTGAATAAGGGTAACGACGGAGACACAGTCGGCAGTTATATATGCAGCATTTCTGTATATCATCCCCTTTGGGAGCCCGAAGAAAACTGTTTTCCAACCCAATGTACGTATCATCGTATGCGCTTTCAAGTGTGATCCTCGTCCACCTCTAGGTTCTTGGAGCAGCAATGCCCCAGACTTTCAGACTGGCAACGACGCTTGCATCTATCACTGTTATTTGGCCTGTGATGCGTGGCACCCGAAGTTGGTACAGGTTATCTAGGTACCTAGGTTGGTCCCTGCCTATTTAGCCGGCTGTCATCTATTTGGAACTCTCCTCTACCAGCACCTGGTTGCCTACCCATCCATTGTAAGCCCTGCGCCACCAGCGAAATTTCCTCAACCCTTTGCATGAGATGTGCTGCAGGTGAGCCACCATCATACATAACGCCAAGGGAGGCTGCGGCGATTTTACCATGTCACCCTGGTCGATCGATTTATCTTAGGTGCCTATCGTAGACACCTGCCTCCTCGATCCCAAGCTGCAATCAGCAAGGGGCCAGGTATGTAAGTCGATATGTGATGTCGCACGCACCGAATTAAGGGGATGCTAAGCAAGAAAATATTTAGGCAAGTCCATTCTGTTCAGTGCGGGCTGCTTATTCGCGACCACCAAGCGCCGCCAAAATGCTTCGAAATAGAATGCAGACGACTTGACGTCTCTTGATGGAGCATTCGCCTAGCGCACACGCCCGCTGATTCGCTTGTCTCCTGCCGCCGAGGTTCTTGGCAGCTCCCCGCCCTGAGAATCTAGGGCGTCCCCATGCCAAGCATCGAGGGAGAAGAGGGATCGGGTTGGCCCCTTGAGGTATGGTTCCTTCCCGTCTTTACGTTCATACATCAAATCGGTAATGTGCATCCCTTCCACGTAATATTTAATGGCAACCCGCTTTATCGCATGCCATTTCCTGACAGACAGGCTCTTGTCGGTGCTCCCTCGCACCATCGTCACTCGGCTCCTCTTAGTGGCTACCTAGGCAGGAGCTCAGATGCCTGAGCAGACCGAGACGAGGGAGATAAGATCTGGAGCGATGATATCTTTGTCAGTCCCGGACAGGTAGGCAACTCGGCAGGTGCACCACGCAAAGCAGTCGATATCAGGGTCCAAGCAATGCCCTGGTTCGATTGGCCCTGGGGTAGACGCAATTTGATGGTTGGATTCTGCTGCCAATGTGCCAACGCCTGGGCACGCCCACCACAAAAAAGATGGCAGTCTTAGAGGTCCCAAAGGCTAAGTAGAATTGTTCGTGCCGTGAGCTTTCCTTACGAGTTTTCTTATTCTTATTATTCCCCCTTATTTTTATTTTTTGGTTTTATTTTTCCTTCTATTCCTATTCCTGTTCCTGAAAGCAACTGTCCACCGCATTGCGAATTCCAGTCCCCTGCCATCCTTTTCGTGGTGCGCTTGCTGGGCTGGCGTGCGGTGGCGCCGCATCCCCTGCACCATATCCCTGTCGCTCCCTAAAACAAGCGGACTCGTGCCCGATTCACGCCCGTTTCCCCTTTTTTTTGCTAGTCCAGGACAGGGAGGCGGTACCTTGCCCGCGCGGCTGCGACACTGCAAAGCCCAGGTCACCTCCACTAGCCTCCACAGCGCCCAGTAAAACCCACGCCGCTCTCCACCCCCGTCCGAATCCACTCGTGGTTTCCAATCTCCTCCGTAGTTTGTTCCCCGTCCCATCCTCCTTGGCCTCAAGCTAGACCATCAACCCACCGCCCTCGGCCTTGCGATCCCTCTTTCGGCGCCGCCACACGCATCTGCTGGATGCCGCCGATCCCAGCGTCAGGCCCCCGCGTCGTTCCCGCCCACCACAAATCCACTGTACAGTCCGTGCAGTGTTGGCAAGCAGACAGCGCCGCGCCGCGTCCGAGTCTGCTCGTTTCAGGACCCCCGAGTATTTACCTCCTTGACGATACGTCCTCAGGTCAGCGCTCCTTTGCCGTCTCCTCGCGGCCTGCCACAAGGCACTACTATACTCTGCCTGCACCGAAATTCATTGTGCCGCCGCGCCCGGCCCTGCCCCTTCGCATCGCTGATTCGGTCTTCGAATAAGCAGAATCGCAACCAGAAGACGGTACCGCCCACCGCAGCCGAATCAGCCGATGCCCGCCGCCGCGACTCTTTAGCGGCATCTGTAATAAAACCGCCACTCGTTTCGATCGTCCCGATTTTAGAATCTCCTCCATAGGCTGTCGATCTCGGGGCCTCGCTCTGTTTTACTCGGACTCGTATAGTCTCGAGTCGCCATACTCTGGGTTCGATCCTCAGATCAGGGCGACATGGCTGGATATCACAGACCTCTGAGCTTCTCGGAGAGGCGAGGGAGTACGTTCAATGGCGAGGAGTTGAGCCTCAACACCGCGGGCGGCGTCAAACTTCAACAACCTCGTCCTCCCCGGGGCCCGCCGACACCGAGCATGAATACCCCCGCAGCCGACTTTGACCAGACCCTCACAGGGTCGCCGCCTCCTCCTCCTACGCCTGCTGCCTCCCCCGGCCCGTCACATAGCCAGCTTGACTGGAGCAATGCTGCCGATGACGAAGACTTTTTCCTCGCCAAAGTGCGCCAGCACTTCCAGAACTGCACCGGACCCCAGCGGACCCGGGTCCTCGCCGACCTCCTGAACCTCTGCACAAGTCAGCAGCTCAGCTTTGTCCACCAGTTTGTCAGCCCGTTGCTGAAGAAGGACCCCTTCACAAGCCTACCCGATGAGCTGTGTCTCAGGGTAAGCCAAGATCTCGTTTCCAACGGCATCGCGATTGGGCCGCGAATCTGGCTTCGTTTAGGAACTGACGCTGTGCGCGCCCTCTAGATTCTCTCATTTATCGATGACCCCAAGGTCCTCGCCAGGGCTTCGCAGGTCTCCAGGCGTTGGAGAGATCTTTTGAGTGACGACATGACGTGGAAAAACCTGTGCGTGAAGCACGACTACGGACGTAGGTTGTCCGAGGTGCAACCGCCAGCATCTAGCCACTCGCTCAGCCGCCCCTCTGCTTTCCCTCTCAGTGTGGGAGACTCCGAGGTCTCGAATCGGAGCTTCCCAGGGGCCCTTCCCATGCCCTCGTTGCGGCTGCCCACTTCTCCCAGCTTCGACGGGGTGTCGCCATCACTGCCCTCATCTCGTCCGACTCTGAAAACGTACAAGTCCCATTTCAAGCAAAGATATCTCGTGGATGCCGCTTGGAGAACCGGAGGCCAGAACGTGACTCGCAATATCACCCAGGAAGGGGGGGTTGTGACAAGCCTTCATCTCACACCAAAGTACATTATCGTGGCCTTGGATAACGCCAAGATTCATGTGTTTGATACGGAGGGGAATGCCCAGCGCACGCTTCAGGGCCATGTCATGGGAGTTTGGGCCATGGCTCCCTGGGAAGATCTTCTCGTCAGCGGCGGCTGCGACCGCGACGTCAGAGTCTGGGACTTGTCTACTGGGTACGTTAGCCTGTCACTGCCTCCCCCTGTGAACCGCGCTCGTAACTTCCGAGCTGACGACTCTTCGTTTCTTTCAGGGCATGTCTCCACACCCTTCGTGGCCATACCTCGACCGTGCGGTGTCTCAAGATGTCCGACTCTAACACGGCGATATCGGGTTCGCGGGACACTACTCTGCGTGTTTGGGACATACGGTCGGGGCTCTGCCGCAACGTTTTGGTCGGTCATCAGGGTAGCGTGAGGTGCTTGGAGATCAAGGGCGACATTGTTGTTTCTGGCAGCTATGACACGTATGCCAAGGTCTGGAGCATCTCAGAAGGTCGCTGCCTGCACACGCTCCAGGGTCACTACAGCCAAATCTACGCCATTGCGTTTGATGGCTTTCGGGTCGCTACCGGAAGTCTCGACACTAGTGTTCGCATATGGAACGCAACGACTGGGTATGTCTTTTCCTCCCTGCCATCTTGAATATCTCTTCTGGCCTCGAGGCAGAATACCAATTAATGCCTCTTCACGCCGTGTAGAGAGTGCCAGGCTGTCCTGCAAGGGCACACCTCGCTCGTTGGGCAGCTGCAGATGAGAGGCGAGACCCTCGTGACCGGCGGATCGGATGGGTCGGTGCGGGTATGGTCTCTATCAAAGTTCTGTCCCATCCACCGGCTTGCCGCCCATGACAATAGCGTCACGAGCCTGCAATTCGACGATACGCGAGTTGTCAGTGGTGGGAGCGATGGGCGGGTCAAAATATGGGATCTGAAGACGGGCCATCTCGTGCGCGAGCTCGTCGCCCAGTGCGAAGCCGTGTGGCGTGTCGCCTTCGAGGACGAGAAATGCATAGCGATGGCATCCAGAAATGGAAGAACCATCATGGAGGTAAGCGCAATTTGTCTTGGTTTGGGAACCGTCATGGAAGTCCTCGCTAACTCCCCCTTTCCTATTCGCAGCTATGGTCCTTCTCTCCACCGGAAGAGATCATGAACGAGCGGCCACTTTCTCTTCCCCAGCGGCCACACGAGACATCTACTCGGCCAATGAGTGCCTTGCCTCTCGACTACAGGAAATCACATACTTTGATTCCTGGCATCCCAAGACGAGATAGCCAAGACGTCGACATGAGGGATGCCGGCCCCTCAACTGCACCTTTACAGCAAGGCAACGCATCTTTCTTCCGGGAAGATTAGCACACGGGTTTTCACGGGCTTTGACTTTTATCGCCCTGAACATAGGACGCTCTGTTAGGGTTCTGGGACGAACCAACGGTCCATCAGCGCCATGCGTCTAGTACAGTGTCACGAGACCCGACAGCCCAGTCAAGTTTTCTACAACAGTATCATTTTCTCGCAGCATTTCTTCTCCTTCCCGACTTGTATTTTTCCGCATTGTCGACACTAATGGGTTCTCGTCGTTTCACCTTTATTTCATTCTATACTGGGCCGGGGTTTCTCTCATATCTTGCTTTCTCTTTGTTTCATACTCCGCATCATCTGCCTCTGTTCCAATTGCGCATCGCAACATCTCACAGCTCCATGGTCCTGTTCGGCATCTGGCTAGCGATGGAAAGCATTCTGGGTTATAAAAACATGGGTGGGCTGGTGGCAACGGCGAGCGAGGCGGGTGGGCTTCATATCACAGTACACTGTTGACAAAGTTCGGGTACAAGCTCGCGGCCGCCACATCCACTCCAGGCGTTTAACTTTTTCTTCTTTTGTCGATTTGAGAGCCTGCGGGATTTGGAATTTATGTTTATGCCAGTGGGTTATAAGCGATTTTACCTGGGCGGTTCGTGATTGGAACTTGGTGCCGGCTCTCGGGACCTCCACCAGGAACCCATCGGTTAGAAAGTTGCAATTGGTCTGTATTTGATTTGAGGCCGGAAATAAAAGGAAGAATCCCCAATCTGCGCGTGAATCACGACGTCGATATATGGGCCCTCTGCTCGCTCACTGGCCATCAAAGAGCCTGCGCCCCTGGGTTCTCGAGGGAAGAGGAGATGGGACGATGAACAAGAATCCTCTCGAGAAAAGAGAAGATGAATAAGAATCCATTCGAAAAGGAGAAGACGGGAAGATGAGCAAGAAAATATTCCGTCGTTATCGCAATTAAGCAGACAAATCACTCCACCAACTAAGAACGGCCAGGCACCACCACCCACAAAATCAAGAAAGAGCTCTCAATCTGTCAATCCTCGTTGTGTCTGGCACTCAGTCACACTTTGCAATGGCTTCGCATCAGGCTGCGATCGAGCATTCCCGGGCTCGTGAGAGCAGGAGGAGCCAACACGCTGGCGCAGTCGGTCGGAGGTCAGGAGTCACAGCGCGCAGGCGCGGTTAGAAACAGGCAAGTAGAGACAATTGGAAGGAGCCAGCGCCGAGAGCGCCTCAGGTGCGCTGGACCATGCAGAAAGCGAGCGATGCCGCCCTCCGAGGTCCATGGTCGCGGGGCATGCTCCCAATAAGCTCCCTCTGCGCGTCCCTGTCGTGGTGCGGGCAACACAGGAGGCTTGTCTGGACGTCGAAAAGTGAGAGATAAGCCGGATGACGCCACGTGATCATGTCGGACTCAGTGGGGGAAAATTCCAGCCCAGGGACGGGAACCCAGCAGCCCCAAACGAAAACTCCCGGGTTGAGCTCCACACCGGCCCGTACTTGGACTAGCGGCGTTCAACAAGACGCCCCAACCTTAGCTGAGCTTGATTCCCCAACCCAAAAAGTTTCGGTCGTTAAGAGGCCGCTTCGACAAAGCCCCTGCCTCCAACTTTTGCCGACCATCACGACAGCAACTCTCGCCAGATTCGAGCGTCAGCGTCACCATGTTCTCTAGAGGCCTCAGGGTAGGTCGGGCAGTACAGGCCCCGCTGCGCCAGCGCACCTACGTCCCTAAGATCTCCGCTGCTCGCAGGAGCGTTACGACGGATGCCGCTTCTTCGCATGTCGAAAAGGGCGCAGTTCCCAAGGTCAGCCCCCCTAGACCTCTCGAACCACGCAGCGGCGCCTGGCTTTCTAGAGCAGGCCAATTGGGGCTCCCCGCCTGGCTCGGCCGGTCCCAGGCCTGGGAGGTGGAAGCTACCTGGCGACGGCAGGCTGGAGAGATGGGGGTTATGCGGGGCTATACCTCGGGCGGCGATGGCTGACCATGCTCGCTCTACTCCAGTCCGATGATGAGCCCTTTACCGTCAACCTGAGCGACGAGAGCTTCGAGACCTACGAGCTCGACCCGCCGCCATACACCATGGAGGTGACCAAGAAGGAGCTTAAGCAGATTTACTACGACATGGTTGTGGTTCGGTACGTTGCCGAGTACCCATATGTTGCGTTGTTCTGACACATTGCGCCGGTTGTTCCGCTGTCCCAGAGACTTGCGGCTGCTTTTCCGTCTGCCCCACTAACTGTGATTCTGCACGACCAGGCAAATGGAAATGGCGGCGGACCGGCTGTACAAGGAGAAGAAGATCAGGGGCTTCTGCCATCTGTCGACCGGACAGGAGGCAGTCGCTGTCGGTATCGAGCACGCTATCAACAAGTCGGACGACGTCATCACGTCGTACCGATGCCACGGCTTCGCCTACATGCGCGGCGGCACGATCCGCTCCATCATCGGCGAGCTGCTGGGCCGTCGCGAGGGTATCGCTTACGGCAAGGGCGGCTCGATGCACATGTTCGCCAAGGGCTTCTACGGCGGCAACGGTATTGTGGGCGCCCAGGTCCCCGTCGGCGCCGGCCTGGCCTTTGCTCAGAAGTACACTGGCGGCAAGAAGGCCACTGTCATCCTTTACGGTGACGGTGCCAGCAACCAGGGGCAAGTTTTTGAGGCGTTCAACATGGCGAAGCTGTGGAACCTGCCCGCGCTTTTCGGCTGCGAGAGTAAGTTGACCCCTAGTGTTGCGAGCAGCCTGACACGTCGTGCGCACGCGACAATGTCGTATATCGGCCGAGCCAGAATGCGTTGCTGACAGTTTGATTCTAATTTTCTAGACAACAAGTACGGCATGGGCACATCCGCCTCCCGCTCGTCTGCTCTGACAGACTATTACAAGCGTGGACAGTACATTCCCGGCCTGAAGGTGAACGGCATGGACGTACTCGCGGTCAAGGCTGCGGTCAAGTACGGCAAGGAGTGGACCGAGGCGGAGAACGGCCCGCTTGTTCTCGAGTACGTCACGTACCGCTACGGTGGTCACTCCATGTCGGACCCCGGCACAACGTACCGCACGCGCGAGGAGATCCAGCGCATGAGGTCGACCAACGACCCGATCGCCGGGCTGAAGCAGAAGATGGTTGACTGGAGCGTCGTGTCGGAGGAGGAGCTGAAGCACCTGGACAAGGAGGCGCGTAGCTTCGTGAACGAGGAGGTCAAGGCGGCCGAGGCTATGGCCCCTCCCGAGGCGACCCAGCAGATCCTATTCGAGGACATTTACGTCAAGGGCACCGAGCCGTCACACATCCGTGGCCGCACTCCTGACGAGCTCTTCTACTTCAACAACTGATTTGAGCTAGCAAGAGGAGATGCGCCGAAGGACTGTTGTTTTCTTGTGTTCAATGCCCTGACGTAATAAACATGGATGGATTGGTTGGTTGCGCTTGGGCCAGGTAGACTATAAATTCGTATGTACAATACATTGCCTCGGCACCCCTTTCTGCGAAGCTTGCGTGTTTTGTTCTTTGCTCGTCACAAACCCTTCCTATAACACTCTCCAAAGCGCGTGGGAGCCTAGTCGGGACTGGTTGTGTGTGGCTGACCCAGGGGCCCCAGCCATGCAGGGGTGAATGTTCTCATCAGATTTCCGTCATGCTGGAACAGCTGAAGTGGTGAACAACGGGCAACAGTGCAAACTCTGTAAGAAGTGGGTCCGTGCTTGGCTGGTGGCAGTTTCTTTTTCCCGCGAGTCCGCTACGCAGCGGGCCCTCTAATTGGCCCATCCCTGCGAGTCGCGTCGCGTGTTGGGTCCATCGTCCATCATCGAAGGCACCTACCTGCCTGAACCGAAATCTAGGGTCCATCGGTACCCTCCCGATGATAGGCAGCAGCAGCTGGATGCCTGCCCGGTTAACTAAATTTCTAGGTACTATTGTCTCTGTGTGTTTGTTTTTATCGTTCTTGGTGCCTGTTTAAATTGTTCTCGCCCCTCGGAGGGTCGAGCGACGGAGGCTGGATTTAGCAGTAACCAATCTCGGCACGAAGCTTCTACCTCGCTCACGACCACCGTGGCTTCGAAGCAGCTACTTGCCCTGGCTGTGACGAGCGCTGCTCGCACAATAATCAGGATGGCTCCCAAGCAGGCCACCTTGGGGTACGTCAAATCGTCGCAGACAACTTTGGGGCATGTTCACCATGGGGTCGGGTTTCGCTTCGCTCCGTGCGCAAAATGGTGATGCTGACCGGCGCATGTTTGCGGTTTGCAGAAAGTTCTTCGGGAAGGCCTCCCAGCCCGCTCCCACACAGCAGACCAAGCTCTCCTTCTCTACCAAGGCGAGTGGCTCGAGCTCGAAAGCCAAGGGGCCCCCGGCGGAATCCGAGGGGACGGACGCCGACGCTGCTGCTGCCGATAACGACGACAAGGAGGAACCCCGCACTGTCACCATCTCCTCCAGGCCGAATACGAAACAGGCCGCCGGCAGCAGCCGCAAGACAGCGAAGCGCGACGAGTCCGATGATAATGCTCTCGAGGAGGACCAGCCGCCGGCCAAAAAGGCTCGACGGGGACGTCCGCGCAAGGTTGTGGACGATGACGACGAGGACCAAGTGATGGAGGCTGCCCCTGAAACCAAGCGAAGCCGAAGCAAGTCGCAGGGTTCTGTCGCCAAAGAGACGAAGCGCAGCCGGAGCAAGTCACAGGACTCTGTCACGAAGGAGACCAAGCGCAGCCGGAGCAAGTCGCAGGACTCTATCACCAAAGAGGATAAGGGGAAGGCAGATAAAAAGCAGGATATGGCCGAGGATGTGCCATGCAAGCCCAAACGCTCCAAGGGAACCGCCCGGTCAGGGGCCAAATCCCCAAAACCGTCCAAAGGCTGCAAGGCGACTGCCGTGAAGGAAGAGGAGGAGGAGGAGGAGGAAGATGATGTCTCTGATAAAGATGCCTCGAGCGCAGAGTCTGCTTCGGAGGCTGGGAATAGCGCAAGCGAAGACGAGAAGCCGGAGGTGAAGGCCAAGGTGCGCAAGTCGGTGCAGAAGACATTGTCCAAGCCTATCACGAAGGACCCTTTCCCGGATTGGAAGCCGGGTGAGCCGGTTCCCTACGCGGCCCTTTGCGCAACGTTCTCGCTCGTTGAGCTCACTACCAAGCGGCTCATAATCACGGAGTACTGCTCCCTGTTCCTGCGTCAGGTGCTGCGGCTGACCCCCGGCGACCTCCTCCCCACTGTGCTGCTGATGATCAACAAGCTGGCTGCCGACTATGCGGGCATCGAGTTGGGCATCGGCGAGTCACTCATCATGAAGGCCATCGGCGAGTCTACAGGACGCAGTCTAGCGGTGATCAAGCAAGACCAAAAGGAGATTGGCGACCTCGGTCTGGTAGCCGTCAAATCACGGTCAACGCAACCTACAATGTTCAAGCCGAAGCCGCTGACGGTCCGAGGTGTGCACACGGTCCTGGTTGGCATCGCCACGATGTCGGGCAATGGTGCGCAGGGGCGTAAGGTCGATATGATCAAGAAGCTGCTGTCCGCGGCCGACGTCAACTTGACGGGCAAGGTTGACATCACCAAGGACAAGGGCGGCCCTAGCGAGGCCAAGTATCTGGTTAGGTTCCTGGAGGGGAAATTGCGTCTGGGACTGGCCGAGAGGACGGTCCTGGTGTCGCTCGCGCAGGCAATCATAGCTCATGAGGCGACACAAAAGGGCAATGTGCCTAGCCCATCGGATGTCGAAAAGGCCGAGGCGATGCTCAAGACAGTGTACAGGTATGTCACTTGGCAATTTGGAATCTGGCGGCAGACAAGACAAAAGGTCACCACGTTACTGACTGTTGGCTCGGGCATACAGCGAGTTGCCTAGCTATGAAACTATCATCCCAGCAGTGCTGGAGCATGGTATCATGAACCTCAAGGAGAACTGCAAGCTCCGGCCAGGCATTCCCTTGAAGCCCATGTTGGCCAAGCCGACCAAGGCCATCACCGAGGTGCTGGACCGGTTCGAAAACCAAACCTTCACTTGCGAGTACAAGTACGACGGCGAGCGGGCGCAGATTCACTATGTGGCCAAGGATGCAGACGAGGAGCTCAGCCAGTCGCTGCCGGGAGCCAACAAAACCACTGGAGCGGGCGTAGCGGCCATCTTCTCGCGCAATTCTGAGGACCTGTCCAAGAAGTATCCCGACATCCTGGCTAAGCTGCACACGTGGATCAAGGAAGATACCAAGAGCTTCGTGCTCGACTGCGAAACAGTGGCGTGGGACGTGGTTGAGAAGAAGGTGCTTCCGTTCCAGCAGCTCATGACACGCAAAAAGAAGGATGTCAAGATCGAGGACGTCAAGGTCAAGGTCTGCGTCTTTGCCTTTGATCTGCTGTACCTCAACGGAGAGGCCGTGGTGGAGAAGTCGCTGCGCGAGCGGAGGGAGCTTCTGGCGGCCTCGTTTGAACCTGTTGAGGGCGAGTTTGCCCTGGCCACGCACATGAACGGTCGAGAGCTCGATGAGATCCAGACGTTCCTGGACGAGAGCGTCAAGGCGTCGTGCGAAGGGCTGATGGTGAAGATGTTGGACGGAGCCGAAAGCGGGTACGAGCCCAGTAAGAGGAGTCGCAATTGGTTGAAGGTATGCAGTTTTTTTTTAGTTTTTTTTAGTTTTTTTTGCCGTACGGCCATCTCATGGAGCAGCATGCACCACACGCTACCTCCCCTGCCTCACTCATGGTATCAAACTAACCACCCGGTTGCGATGTTTTAGATCAAGAAAGACTACCTCTCGGGCATTGGCGACTCTCTGGACCTGGTGGTGCTGGGCGCGTACCACGGCAAGGGCAAACGCACGTCGGTGTACGGGGCGTTCCTGTTGGCGTGCTATAACCCGTCGAGCGACACGTACGAGACGATCTGCAACATCGGCACTGGATTCTCGGAAGCAGTGCTGGAGGAGCTGCACTCGCAACTCAAAGACACGGTCATCGACCGACCCAAGCCGTTTTACTCGCACAGCTCTGGCGGGCAGCACCAGCCAGACGTCTGGCTCGAGCCGCGGCTGGTGTGGGAGGTCAAGACGGCGGATCTCACGCTCAGTCCCAGGTACAAGGCCGGGTGCGGCGAGGGCGTCGACCCGGCGGGGGCCAAGGGCATCAGCCTGCGATTCCCGCGCTTCATCAAGCTCCGCGACGACAAGAAGCCCGACGAGGCCACGTCGAGCCGGCAGGTGGCCGAGATGTACCGCAAGCAGGAGAGCGTGTCCAAGAGCAAGGGGCCTTCGGTTGATGACGACTTTGAGTACTGATGACGACGGGCACGATGAAAATGACGATTTTGCACACATGCATATTGACCTCACAGATAGAACAAGGCAGAAAATCAGGATCAGCCTCTATGTGTCTGGGCACGGCACGAAAAGAAGAACAAGCTCTCTCGTTTAATCATGATCATGTCTGTGTATGTGTTTTTTGCTTTGCTGTTTCGTATTCCGTTGATGGTCATGGCTCATAGCTTCGTGAGGTTTATAACTCGGTGTCGTAGAGAACAGTGTGTTTTGTTTTCTTCCTTTTTTTTTTCCCCTTCCTTTTTTTCTTTCTTCGGTCCGTCATACCTTTTCCTTCACCTTGACGCCCCCATCCTTGGCGTCCTGCCTGAGCTTCTCCGACTTTATCGCGTTGCCGGGCCCAAAGGTGCGGACCTTGCTCAGGGTGCGCTGGCGCATGGCGGCCATGATCTGGAGCTCCATCTTGTCGATGCCCTTCTCGAGGTCCTCGTCCTCGGCGGCGTAGTGGCGCTCGCGGCGGCGGTCCCACACGAGCCAGCAGACGACGATGGCGAGCGTGAGCGGCACCGTGAGGGCAAAGTAGATCCAGACCGACTCGGCCACGACGGGCTCGCCGTTCTGGGCCTTGAAGTCGAAAAAGGTCATGCTGAAGACCGAGGCCAGAAAGGTGGCGGGCAGGAAGATGGCGCCGAGCAGCGACAGAGTCTTCATGCTGTTGCTGTCCCGCTTGGACGCGTGGGCCAGGCGGCGCTGCTGGCTCGCGATCTCGAGGCTGAGGCGGCTCTCCTTTTGCGCCAGCGTGTTGTAGAGCGCGGCGCGCTGGATGCCGAGGCGCTCGAGCGTCGTGTGCGCGTAGCTCTCGACCCCGCGCAGCTTGGCGCGGTAGAAGCCCAGGCGGGCCAGCATGCCGCGGTGGGCGCGGTCGAGGCTCCCCAGGGGCCCGCCGCCGCGCTCGCGCGGTATCAGCGTCAGGCGGGACCGGAAGAGCTCCATGGCGTCCTCGAGCGCGGCCGCGATCTCGAGGTAGGCGCGCGGCCGCTTCCAGAGCACCTGCGAGTGGCACTCGACCAGGTCGCGGTTGAGCTGGTCCAGGTCCAGGCCCGAGAGGCTGGCGCCGCCGGTGCCGGTGCCGGTGCCGGTGCAGGTGCCGCCGACGTAGCTCTCGCGCTCGTGGATCTCCTCGCGCATGCTGACGGCGTGCTCGAGGCGGCGGAGCCAGTCGCGCGCGTCGCGCTGCTTGACGTCGCCATTTGGGCTCAGGTCGTGGCTCAGCACGACGAGGGGGAGGAGCAAGGGGTGGTTGACGTCGTGGGCGCAGGCGCGGACGGTGCGGACGGCCTCGACCAGGTCCGACGACTCGGTGCCCTTTGCGTAGCCCGAGGTTACGCCGGTGCGGAACGAGTACGACAGCATCAGCTCCCAGCCGCGCGTGCGGCCCTTCTTGCGCACGTCCGACTTACGGAAGATGACGTGCAGGTGCGGGTCCGCGTCGTCGGCGTGGTCCATGGCGGACCAGAAGAAGGGCCCGACGACGGCGGTGCCCTCGATGGCCCGGAGCGGGAGCCGCATCCCCCGCACCATGGCCTCGTAGTCGCCGGCCGTGAAGGAGATGACGTTTGGCGCGAACGTCTCGGGGTCCTGCGCCCTTTGCTGCAGCCTGTCTTTGTTGTCAGTCCCCGGTGGGGGGGCGTCTTGCGATGCATGGCATGGCATGGCATGGCATGGCACTTACACTAAGCGCAAGCCGTGGAGAAGCTTGGCTCCGTTCTTGAGCCTCGGCGGCTCAAAGACTCCCTGGACAGTGGGTTCAAGTTTGTCAGTTGGTATACTCGCTCACTCGTTGGAAACACAGACACAAAAAAGACTAACCCTGCGGTGGATAAAGTTTTCAAACTCGGACATGGGCAACGAGTGCTCCTCGTTGCTGTTCATGGTCGGGTCCTAGACAAGTAGGTAGGCAGGGAGCATCAGCAACAGGGCGTCCCCAAAAGCAAGAACCCGGACAGGAGGTCGAACCGAGTAGTTAAGGATCTCGAGATAGCTCGTCGTCTCGTTCACGCTCGTGCAGCCCTCCAGCATGGTCTCGAACATGTAGTCATCCATGGCTTCTGTGTGTGGTGGTGGCGGCACCGGCGCGGCAAGAGATAGCTCGCGTGGGCCCGAGACGGGACAAGCAACGACGTTGGCGGAGCAGGAAACAGGCGCAGGGTGGGTGGCCTGTGTGGGTGATGCTAGCTAGCTAGTGCTTGTAAGCTCAATGCTGTCTTGGTCCGGGGTCACATGCACAGAGTAATTAGGGAAGAAAACACAAGGAAATATAACCGAGGACAGATCGAGGAAAAGAAGAAAAAAGGAACAAATCTATGGAGGGGATGAGAAACAAATCGGATTCAACAACGGTTTGGCCGGAAAATAATCAACTGAAAAACGGACAGGATCGGGACTAGCACAAGTCCATGTGATTGAGAAAGACAGAGCTGGGCAAGTCATGAAGCCGGGCGGGCACTGGTCAAGTGCAGAAAAAAAGAAAGAAAAAAGGGAGGAAAAAAAAAGAGCAAGAAAAGAGTGAGAGCCGCGGCCGGGGCGGGGGAGAAGGGCCGACCGACGGGCACTTGCAGGGCAACTGGAGGCCTGGAGGCCTGCACTTGCATCAAACCCTCTCTGCCGATGCCAGACCAACAAGGGCTTACCGCCTTCTGGGGGGCATGCGGGCGTTGGTGACCTGCATGTACGGTAGGCAGTAGACAGCATTACTGGTACGCCCACACACGCCCACACACGCCCACACTCGCCCACCCACGGTCGGGCTCCCTACCCGGGCCGGCAGGCTCGGGCCCAGTTCGTTGCTTGTCTGTCGACTGCCCCGTCTCTGGGTGGTGGACAAGACATGTCTGGACAGGGAGAGGGGGGACGTGTCGAGGGCCAGGTCCAGGTCCAAGTCCAGGCCCCTCCCCTCCTCTCTCTCTCCGTCTTGGCTCAAAGTAGACTAGTGTCGTCAGCGTGGGAGCGGGGACCAGCAGCCGAACCCCAGCTCAGCAATTCCCAACCTCGCGCCATCCACACCATGGCTGCTGGTGTGGTCCACACAATGCGGGATCGATGATGCATGGGCAAAATTGATGTCTGGTCCGTCCGTTTTGACTGGTTGCTTTGTTGGCTGCCTGCATGGCTGGCTTGGGGCCGTTCTCCAGCCCCCAAGGCAGCGAGCAAACATCTTCAAGGCCAAGTCCGCAACCAGTCCGCAACCAAAAAGAAAGATGATATTCGATAAAGGCTGTGAGGTAGGTTCTCTTCTATGCGTGTTATCCAAGGTGTAGCACCGAGTCCGCCCAACCAAATAAAGAATAAAGACCATGAGTTTTTTCTTCGTTTCCCCCGCCCAAGCTAACCCAAAGTCCAACCCGCCCGTTCCGTTTCACCAAACCTCGAGAGATATGATCAGCAAGGGGGTTGCACATGGGCCTTGAAGCCACACACCCCCCGCTTGCTTCTTTCCAAGGGTACCCAAGAACAAAAACCCGCACCTCCGGTGTCGTCATCGTGTGCAACATCAGAAGTCGGCAAATAGGTGGCCGTGGCTACAGCGGTAGTCACCCAGTTAGCCAAACATTCAGCCATGGTACAAGGCAGAGAGAGAAGAGAATCAGAGAGAGAAAAAGAGCAGAGTAGCTTACTCGTCCGGGCCTGTCTGGCCATATCGTTCCGTCTCCTCTGGATACCTGTCAAACTGGCTAGCGTCGCCAGCCCCAGCCTTGACAGGCGGGGTGTAGGGTGCGTCGATGTCTTTGCGAGCCAGTCGGTCCCACGTGACCTCGAGGAACCACTGATGGTTCTTCACGTCCTGCGAGCCGCCGTAAAGATTGCCCAGGCGCTTGGTCAGGTCCGCCGTGATCAATCGCTGGAGGAGATCCTTGGCATCTGGGTTTATGTATGCCGGATACTTGACCTTGCCCTCTGCAGGTCACGCGCACCACAAGCCGTGTCAGCAACGGTGCCAGCAACCGGCCCATCGGGCGAAAGGACAAGGCAACACAAACACTTACGGATAATGTTTTCGTAGATCTTCATGGGCGATCCACTGTCCCAAAAGGGCGTGTAGCCGCACAGCATCTCGTAGATCAAGATGCCCAGCGACCACCAGTCAACCGACTTGTTGTAGCCCTTGTTGGACACCACCTCGGGCGCTAGGTAGTCTGGCGTCCCACAAAGCGTCCATGTCTTGTCCGGCACGCGCTTGGCAAATCCAAAGTCGGTGATCTTGAGATGGCCGTGTCGGTCAAGGAGGAGGTTTTCCGGCTTCAGATCTCGGTATATAATGTTCTTGGCGTGCAGGTACTCGAGCGCCAGCGTCACTTCGGCCGCGTAGAACTTGGCCACCGGGTTCGGGAAGCGCTGCGGGCGAGCTGACGGTTAGCTTGAACTGCACCTGAACGGACCCAACGACGGGAGGGAGGGAGGGCCCAACTAGAGCCGGAGCCGGACTGGCCCTAGACTAGCCTAGCGCTCCCCGGAAATAGGCGCCCTCGGCTGAGGGCTAGAGGGCTTCCAAGCGCATCGACAAACAAACAAACAACTTACGCCAGACTTCCTCAGCAGCGAAAAGAGCTCGCCGCCCTCAACAAAATCCATGACCATGTACAGATTCTTGCAGTCTTGAAAGGTGCCCCACAGCGTGATTAGGAAGGGGTTCTTGACCTCGCCGAGCATCTTCCTCTCGTCATTGGTGTGCTCGATCTGCTTCATCTTGACCACCTGGGCCTTCTTCAACACCTTGACGGCATAGAACCTCTGGTTGTGCCTCGACTGGACAAGGTGGACCCGGCCGAAACTACCTGTGCCGAGGGTCCTCAGTATCTCAAAGTCGGCCAGCGAGTACTTGCCCTTTGTCACGCGGACCTGCTGCTCCTGCGGGGTTTGTTGTGGCTGCTGCTGTTGAGCGTGGGCCTGGGGCTGCGCCTGGGGCTGCGCGCCCTGTTGTTGTTGTTGTTGCTGCTGTTGCTGCGGCATCATGGCTTGGGGTTGGTGAGGCGTCTGCTGCTGTTGCTGTTGCTGCTGCTGTTGCTGTTGCTGTTGCGACAGGCCTGGGGCGGGGCTCCCGTGCGAGGGCGGTAGGGGGAATCGGGATTGTATCTGGTTCTGATAGCCGGCCGACAGATCGTCATGCTGCTGCTGAGGAATATTTATGAGGTTGGAGATGCTCGGTAGGTTCTGCGGCTCTAGAGACCCAGGGGAGGGCGTGTGCGTGGGCGGAGTGTAGACGGGTGGTGGTGCGGTTACTGGGTTCATGGTTGGCTGCTGGACCTGGGACCCGGACTGGTGTTGTTGCACTTGCGCCTGCTGCTGCTGCTGCTGCTGCTGCTGCTGCTGCTGCTGCTGCTGCTGCTGCTGCTGCGCCTGTGCTTGCGGCGGCAGCTGCTGTCCAGACGCCGCGGCGGGGGCGGCAGCAGCGGGAAGAGCGCCTGCCGAGGCTAGGGCCTGGTCGAAGCTTTGCGCGGCCGTGGGCGTGACGGGGCTCGTCGGTTGGCTGGTGGAGCCGCGATCGGGGTTGCCCTCCTTTGTCCGCTTCTTCTTGAGGAAGCCAGGTAGCGAAGGCATCCAGAACCCGGACGCGCAATGGCAGCGGGTGGGGGAGGTGGATGGGGGAGGGAGGTGTGTGGCTGCTCGATGGGCGCGAGCGCGCTTGTCGCACCTACCCTACCAGACGCGGGCGTCCACCGGCGTGGCAGGTGTAGGGGTGGCGGTGGTGGTGGTGGTGGTGGTGCTGACAATGGCGAAAGGAGGCGGCGGGTGGTGAGCGTTCGCAGGAGGGAGGAAGGGTCTGAGCAGCGGGAAGGGATGACAGGGGCGGAAACGACGGCGATGTCGCGCAAAAATAAAAATAAAAGAAGGAACCTAGGCACAAAGGATCCAGCAAAGCGACGAGCCGGGCTGGAGGGGTCTGGGCGCTCCAATTGATTGCGACAAGAGGTCCGTCCAGTCGAGGCGGGGAGGTACTCAGGTAGGTACTCTGCGTCGGAGTGTAAGATGTATGTACGGACAGGTAGGTACTTGCCTCCAACACAACACAACACAACACAACACGTATGGGGGTTGGTCCTGACCTAGGGCCTGCCACCAGTGCAGCAGCACAGCGTCGCGGGCGTGCGGGGCGCGGAGGCTGGGCTGCTGGGTCAATCAGATTCAGCGGTCGTGAGGGCAGAGGGGGAGGGGGAGCCAGGGGGTGGGGAGTGGGGGGCAGCCAGCAAGCCGCGACCGGAATGGAACTCGTGCAGGCCAAGACTGGCGTCACCCAGCAGTCACGCCCGCAATCAAAATCCCAAACCGCCAAACAGCATCCCTCCCCAAGGGCATATCCCTTCTCCTCTCCGCCGCCGACCTCCTCTCCCCTTTTTTTTCCTCTTCTCGCTGGCGAGACCCACCGCAAGGAACACCTTTGCGGCCAGGTGTGTCGGAACTGACAAACGAAAAGGGCGCCACGAGCGTCAGGATTTGGACCACCCCCGTCCCCTCTCTCTGCGCGCGATGGCTGGGCCCAATCGAGTCAGACGAAGTGTCCCGGATGTTCTCGCCTAGCAAGTCTGTTCCTTGCGGACCGGGCGCTGTGAATCGTGAAATCGACGTGTGGTTTCCGGGGGCGGGTAGCCCAGGCGACAGCAAGAGACAGAAGAAGAGAGAAGATATCGGGTGAACACCTATATCGGATCGGATCAATGCCGGAGCCCTCGTCCGGGAGATGGACATAGTATAGTCCTTTATAGTTTGGGATTTTTAATACCCGCAGAGGCCTGCCCGCACGGGCGCAAATAGGTTTCCGCTCCTTCGGTGACTTGACTCACTGACTTAATTCCCAACCCGGTCTAGGCTCGCCAGAAACTGCGACATGCCTCGCTCGTGCTCCCTCGAGCGCGAGCTTCATAATAAAAGCCGACATTGAGCCAGCTACCTGCCACCCGTTTCAGCCGCCCGGCATTCTGCAGTGTGAGCCTGTGTGAGCTTGCTCGAAAGCCGTCGTCGGTCGGGTTTTGCTTTCCTCCTCTGTCGGGAATACACCACACACAGCCAGCACCACACACAGCCAGCACCGCACACCGTCCCGGTTCATGATGGCGATGCGCGCGTCTGTGGCATGAAGGTTGCGACACAAACCGTCTACCTACGACTTGGTCGTGGCACGAAACTCATACAACATCCCCGTGTACTCCCTTCGGCTTTAGTTCCAGGTGTCAGACTGTTTCCCTCGCCATGCTGGGGTAACCCATCGTGCTTGGCCACGCCTCATTCTGTCCTGCGCAAAAGGAGGCCGAGATTAGGACCTGCCAGATATTAGAGTTCAACACGACACTGACCCCGTATGTTGTATGTACATGCGCCGACAAAGTGCCTATGCCAAGTACATCGACATACATATGCAAGAACAAAAGAAGAACGGAGGAAAAAAACGCTGGAGTCGGCGAGCGCATCCAAACCACCGCCCACGTCGGGAACATTTATTTATACACACTTCGACAGTCGTTATCTCGTTAACCTCCAGACAAAGGTCCTCTCGTCAGGCGAGGAATTTTAAACCGACTCCGCACGGACCGAACCCATGCCCGCCCCTCGCAGGCATGCCGCCCGCCCTGCGCCTCTGATATCTAGGTAGGCCGGTGCAACTGTTGATGCGCCAGCTACATGCCCTGCCCCCCCGCCCCTTCGAACCCGCCTCGCCAGGAGCCCCCGGTTCGGCTCAGAATCGGTGCGACCGCTTGTTCGTCCTCCAGGCCGTGAAGATGGCGTAAGCGCCTCCGACGACGATGACGAAGAGGAAGATCTTGATGAAGAACCACGACCAGCTGCCGCCCTCATTCTTGGCCTGCTCCTTGGCCATCTTGCTCGCGCCCTTCTTGGCCCCGCTGCTGCCGGGCGTGTTCTTGCCCTTCTTGCTGGGCTCCGTGTACATGTTCTTGGCGGCGACGGAGATGATGTCGTGGTTGTCGGTCAACTCGCCCGTCTCGGCCGTGAAGCCCAGGTAGGCCACCTGCGGGATTGTGGGCGGCTCGTTGGTCTCGAAGCACATGGTCCACTCGCCCTCGGACTTGTAGTGCAGCTCCAGCTTCAGGTACTTGTCCTGGAAGTACGTTAGGCGCAGCTTGGTCGGCACGCTCGCGTGCCGGATCCCGCGCGCCGAGCAGCCCGCGAACTCGGTCGACTTGCCGTCCGTGTCCTTGTCGTACGTCTTTTGCCCGTCGCCAATCATGGCCATGACGTAGGGGAACACCACGCCCGGTCGGTTGTTCTTGTACGTGTCGAAGAAGATGCCGAGCCCGTCGAACTTGTCGACGCTGCCGAACACGGGGCCCTGCTCCGTGCGCTGCTTGGTGATCCACATGGCGAAGCCGTCGCCGTACAGCTGGTGCTTGCCGTGGATCTTGAACTCCACCTCCACCTCCCAGTTCGTCGCCGTGAGCGGCACCCGGGACCACAAGTGGCCCGTTTGCGACGGCCTGTCCGAGGTGAGCCGGATGTATCTGCGCGCAGCAACTGGTGTCAGCCCGCCTCCTTTTGGGCAGTAGCGCTGTTTTTGTAAGGGAGGGGTTTCGGTCCATCGTCGTCAGTTCGTAACGTACTGGTCGGTCCGGATGATGGTATCTCCTCCAAAATCATACCACCTGCTCTGCATATCGGAATCGAGGTACGGCTGCGAAGGAGACAAGGCAAACATGTTAGCTGGCCGCATGGCGCAATATCAAGTCGGCGCTGCATGCAGCAAGCACAATTCCTCACCTGGTTGAGAGTATGTGTCCTCAGCTGCGAGGACGGGAAGAGTTGCGCTTCCGAGTTAGCCATGGGCGCCTTTCCGACGTGATGATATTCATGGCCGCCAGAACCGTGTCTAGATGCCGACGAACCCCTATGCTCTTGACCTGGCCCTCGTCGTCGACGGACACGGCCGCCAGCGACGTCGTCGCGAGGCACAAGGCCGACAAATAGCGAGTGAACCACATTGCGCCGGCGCCGGGGGGAGGACTCAGGGCAGTCCGGGTGGATTTAGCTCGTTGGCAAAAGCCGTCGTCGGGGGCGGCGTTCGGTTCGATCGATCTCGTCTTTTTTTCTTTTTTTATTCCCACGCGGTGAGCGGCATCGGCTGGGGTAGGCGCAGTGGGTGGACGGGTGGACGGGTGGACGTTGAAGCTGAGGTGCAAGACGACGAGGTTCACCCACCTAGGGTGATGTAGCACCTTTCGGCTTGCGATTTAGCTGGCCTTTTTGCGCCACTTTTGCATGGGGGCCTGAGTGGCCCCCCCGTCGGTGGACCTCGAAGTGGTACCTCCTGCTGCAGGTTTGGGCTGCCAAGATACCGCTCGTCAACTCCGCTCGAGCTGGGCGTGGCTGGAGAGTGGTCGCACCGCCACACCAACACCCGCAAAAAGACTGGCATGGCGGGTTGCTATCCAGCCGGGTATGAGCTGCCCAGAGGAGAGCTCAAGAGAAATCCTTGGACAGACAGGCGCGCACATCAAAGCTCTTGAGCTGCCCAATAGAAACACCGTTCTCGCCCGAGCAACGAAATCACACCAGCAGACGCAATGTTCTTCTCCGGCTCCAAGCCCACCCCGCCGACCGAGACTCCCCTGTCCGAGTTCTCCGACATGCCCGTCTCGGCCGCCTCGGCCGCCGACTCGGAGGGCATCAAGAAGGCCTTTATGCGCCAGGTCCAGCTCGAGTCCCAGAGCGCCAACGCGCGCACGCTGATGGAGGTAATATAATCAGACCTTTTTTTCCCCGCCCGCTTCATGAGGGCACACATCTGACTCCAGAACAACGCACACCAGAAAATCAACTCCAACTGCTTCGAAAAGTGCGTGCCGAGCCCCGAAGGCTCCATGTCGGCCGGGCAGTCGGCCTGCGTGACGCAGTGCATGGAGAAGTATATGACGGCCTGGAACCTGGTGCACAGCTCCTACGTCCGGAGGTTACAGCAGGAGGCGGCGAACGGCGGCATCCAGTGAGGAGGGCTCTTGCCGCTCTTGTGCCATTTTTTATTTGATGCGACGACGTCCGCCTCTTTTCTCAGCCACTGTACAATAAACTCGCTCACGTTCCAAGTTTACCAACCGCCCCTTGCCGGAAGGGGGCCTTCTTTTGTGTGTCTTGACATTACATTATGCATATTGTGGTATATGTATATGCGGCACCCGTAAAGCCCGCCGTTGTCTGCATCATGGCTCACCGGGGAGCCCTTGCGCCTTGGCCTCGGCCGCCGCCTTCTTGCGGGCCAGGTACCGCTCCTTGGCACTCGATATGTCAGCCGCCGTCTTCTGGCTCTTGGACGCGAGTTCCACCTTTGCGCGCTCCTCGGCCGCCTCGTCCCGCGAGCGCTTGAGCGTCTGCTCGTACTGCGCCTCCAGCGCGCGCGACTGCCGGTCGCGCATGGCCTGCCTGCCGCCGCCCCTGCCGGTAAGGGACGAGGAGGACGCCCCCCTTCCGCCATCCCGCCGGTCCCGTTCCCGGTCATTGGCGGCTGCTGCTGCTGCTGCTGCGGCGGCGGCGGCATCGGCTTGCTGTTTCTTCTTGGGCACAATGTTGAGCCCGCCCCTGAGCAGCTCGCGCTTGTCCACGACCTGGCCCTCTTCGTTGATGGCGACGTCGCCGCCCTGCTCGTTGATGCGGCGCGCCTTGTCGGCCGCGCCATTGTCTCCGCTCTCGTCCTCCTCCTCGGCGGCGGCGGCGTCCTCCACCACCTTGTCATCCCCGCCGCCGCCTGTCTTTTTCCTGTGCTGTAGCTCCTCGGCGGCCCTCACCATCTCGGCGTGCGCCTGCTCCCCGCGGTCGAGCAGCTGCTTGTAGAAGCCCGTCATGCCGCCCGACTTGTTGCGGCGCGCCTCGTCCTCCTCGCGCCGCCGCTCCTCCTCCTCGAGCCGCCTGTTCTCCTCCTGCTGTTTCCTGTAGGCCTCGGTCACGAACATGTCCTTGTCGGCAAACTCGTCGCCCTCGGCCTCGCGCTCGCGCTTCATCTTCTTGTCCTCGGCGATCTTGCGGTCCCGCTCCCGCACCTCGACCGCCTTCTTGAGGTTGGCCATGTACTGCGGCTTGCGCTCCGCGGCTTGCGCAGAGGCCGCAGCGGCGGCGTTGCGCGTGGGAGCCTTGAAGGCGTCGTAGGCCGCGTCGTAGTCGTAGATGGATGGGTCCTCGCGCTCGGCGCGCTCGGCGTACCGGCGCGATGTCAGCGCGCTGGCCAGGTCGCCCAGCGCGTGCGCCGGGCCCGCGCCGCCTCCGCCGCCGCC